CCATATCTATTACTAATTAGTAAAACTAACAACAGTGGTTCTGTAATAAGCCCACTCATATCTATTACTAATTAGTCGAACTAACAACAGTGGTTCTGTAATAAGCCCACCCATATCTATTACTAATTAGTCGAACTAACAACAGTGGTTCTATAATAAGTCCACCCATATCTATTACTAATTAGTCGAACTAACAACTGTGGTTCTGTAATAAGCCCACTCATATCTATTACTAATTAGTCGAACTAACAACAGTGGTTCTGTAATAAGCCCACCCATATCTATTACTAATTAGTCGAACTAACAACAGTGGTTCTATAATAAGCCCACCCATATCTATTACTAATTAGTCGAACTAACAACTGTGGTTCTATAATAAGCCCACCCATATATATTACTAATTAGTAGAACTAACAACAGTGGTTCTGTAATAAGCCCACTCATATCTATTACTAATTAGTAAAACTAACAACAGTGGTTCTGTAATAAGCCCACTCATATCTATTACTAATTAGTAAAACTAACAACAGTGGTTCTGTAACAAGCCCACCCATACATTATGTAATTCCAGTAGAAATATCCACAAAACACTACTTTGTTCTGTAATAAGCTGATCTCCCTTTGTTTGCGACGAGGTGTTATGTCCCTCGGAAATTTAGTACAGGATCTATATATATACCTAAAGTGCATTAAATTACACATAGACATTCTTGTCATAAATCTTTTAATAAAATATTCTGGAATAATATAAACAGTTTCAGATATGTCAACCAATGCATGTCAACCTATGTACATCTATAAGGTAACATCATTTTCATCTGGACACTTCCAAATTTAAAAAACTGATCAGAAACAACCACACAAAATAATTAAGAAATCCTCCTCCTTGGATTTGTACTTTTCAATGATAATCATCCTCGATACTTTAGGGGTTACAAACACTTTTGTTCTCTGTACTCCTGGAACCATCCTCGATACTCCAGGGGTTACAAACACTTTCGTTCTCTGTATTCCTGGAACCATCCTCGATACTCCAGGGGTTACAAACACTTTCGTTCTCTGTACTCCTGGAACATATCATGGCAAAACTGAAGGCACAAGCCAAGTAATTTGATTGGTTCCAGTAGAAAACAAAAAAAACCCTGACCAATCACTGGCTGATACACATGGAACCTTCAATTTTACCATGACATCTTCCAGGGGTACAGAGAGCGAAAGTGATCGTAATACCTGGAGTATCAGGGGATGGTTCCTGGGGTACAGAGAGCGAAAGTGATTGTAATCCCTGGAGTATCGGGGGATGGTTCCTGTGGTACAGAGAGCAAAGGTGATTGTAATACCTGGAGTATCGTGGATGGTTCCTGGTGTACAGAGAGCGAAAGTGATTGTAATCCCTGGAGTATCAGGGGATGGTTCCTGTGGTACAGAGAGCGAAGGTGATCGTAATCCCTGGAGTATCAGGGGATGGTTCCTGTGGTACAGAGAGCGAAGGTGATCGTAATCCCTGGAGAATTGGGGATAGTTCCTGATGTACAGAGAGCGAGAGTGATCGTAATACCTGGAGTATCAGGGATGAATTATAATTAGCTTAACGAGACACAAATGTACAAATATAATTTTTAATTTTGCAAAATCATGGATATAAAATTGCTAAACTAAAGTATCAATACTACTATATCCATTAAGTACTGAAGACAAGAAATATGACAAAGTTTTAGTATCCATTTGGTTTTCCTTTACTAATTGAAGAATTAAAAAATCTTTAATACTTAATTACAGTACTGTTCATCAGTCTTCAACTTACACTTGTTTTGTCCCTTTGGCCAAAACAACAAAAATAAAAAAGAGGATCAAAGTTTGGTGTAAAGCTGAAATACACATTTTGTGTGTGTTTCAAAGATATCTATCCCCAGGCATAAATGTTTTCTGTGAGGCGAAGAGAAGCCCTGGGCACATATCCTGTGAACAGTTACATAGACAAATGTGTTAAAACCATACACCACTATCTTAATAAAATTCACAATCCATGTGGCTGCAATTTTACACAAATAATTCACAGAGCAATTTCTAACAAGCATAGATTCATCTATCAGCAGATGTTTCATAATAAATCATTTTACTAAGTTTATAGCTCTTTTCAGTAAGCTCTAAATCATAAACCAAAAAAACTCAAAAGAAAAATCCTCGTGACATAACATCATATTCAAAATTAACATAATTATATATGTACAAGTACAAAGTGATGAATGAATGCCACGAGTAAAAACGAGTTTTAATGCACAGAGAATATTTCAATTCTAGAGCAACTAACACTAGGAAAACACTCAAAAAATATCAGCACCTGGAGCATGTGTGAAATACATACTTTTGGAGTTTCATTTTGTCATTTAAAAAAATAAAATTGAGGGAAGATCTTGTAGTGTAAGATGGAAATATCAAGATTTAGTGGAAACCTATGTATCAGGGATGATGTCAGTAGAATCAGAAGTGATCAGAGAAGTGGTACAGAATGACATTTAAACATTCTACAGAAATCAAAGAAAGGGAATATGAAACCAAAGGAAACATTTTCTTCTTAAAAATGTAGTTTTATAGTCATGAAATCATATAAAGATAAGAAATGAAAAATAAAAGTAATCATAATCTATATTCTATTTTAAACAACTTGTTGTAGAGTCCTACCGCTACTGGGGATCTTCCCTCTTGTTTTACAAATTATTGTACACACACCAAACAGTTATATTATGTGGCAAAATAATACTTCTATGTGGTAAACAGTACCTCTGTACACGTGATGTGTAACAAATTACAGTACCTCTGTACACGTGATATGTAACAAATTACAGTACCACTGTACATGTGATATGTAACAAATTACAGTACCTCTGTACACGTGATATGTAACAAATTACAGTACCTCTGTACACGTGATATGTAACAAATTACAGTACCTCTGTACACGTGATATGTAACAAATTACAGTACCTCTGTACACGTGATATGTAACAAATTACAGTACCACTGTACATGTGATATGTAACAAATTACAGTACCTCTGTACACGTGATATGTAACAAATTACAGTACCTCTGTACACGTGATATGTAACAAATTACAGTACCTCTGTACACGTGATATGTAACAAATTACAGTACCACTGTACATGTGATATGTAACAAATTACAGTACCTCTGTTCATGTGATATGTAACAAATTACAGTACCTCTGTACATGTGATATGTAACAAATTACAGTACCTCTGTACACGTGATATGTAACAAATTACAGTACCTCTGTACACGTGATATGTAACAAATTACAGTACCTCTGTACACGTGATATGTAACAAATTACAGTACCTCCGTACACGTGATATGTAACAAATTACAGTACCAATGTACATGTGATATGTAACAAATTACAGTACCTCTGTACACGTGACATGTAACAAATTACAGTACCTCTGTACACGTGACATGTAACAAATTACAGCACCTCCGTACACGTGATATGTAACAAATTACAGTACCACTGTACATGTGATATGTAACAAATTACAGTACCTCTGTACACGTGATATGTAACAAATTACAGTACCTCTGTACACGTGATATGTAACAAATTACAGTACCTCTGTACACGTGATATGTAACAAATTACAGTACCTCTGTATACATGATATGTAACAAATTACAGTACCACTGTACATGTGATATGTAACAAATTACAGTAACTCTGTACACGTGATGTGTAACAAATTACAGTACCTCTGTACACGTGATATGTAACAAATTACAGTACCTCTGTACACGTGATATGTAACATGTACATTACATGGACTGATACACAAATATAGATGTGTACCAAACAGTACATCATCATAATCCACAAAAAATTACATCATATCTAACAAGAGATCCCAGAGGGATCTTGGCGCCCACCATTTGAGGATCTGTTTTCAGTTCTTGAAGATTTGTTTATTTTTTTGTTTGTTTGTTATAGGTGTTGTAAATGTTCATGAACTGGTCTTCATTGAATGTACTCAATGATGGCACAAGATATTTTTATTAAGCACCTATTAGCAAATATCATTTGAAAAAGATCCCAAAGTATTATTAGATAGCAGTCAGTTACAGGTAGATAATGGACAATATGCTTGTGCTGTATTACTGTCGACATCCAAGATGGCTGCCTGTGGGCCACCTTGATTTCAAATCAGTCCAAAAAAGGTACAATGCACAACAAGGGACCAAGGGAAACCAATATCTATGAAATAGGATCCATCCAGTACTTTCCAAGAAATAGCAGTAACAAACTTTTACTTCCAAAATCCAAGATGGCTGCCTGTCGGCCATCTTGAATTCGAATCAGTCCAAAAAAGGTACAATGCACAACTAGGGACCAAGGGGAAACTGCATATGAAATTTGAGGAATATCCATCCAGTACTTTCTCAGAAATAGCGGTAACAAACTTTTATATCCAAAATCCAAGATGGCCACCTGTCGGCCATCTTGAATTCGAATCAGTCCAAAAAAGGTACAATGCACAACTAGGGACTAAGGGGAAACTGCATATGAAATTTGAGAAAGATCCATCCAGTACTTTTCCAGAAATAGCGGTAACAAACTTTTACTTCCAAAATCCAAGATGGCCATCTGTCGGCCATCTTGAATTCGAATCAGTCCAAAAAAGGTACAATGCACAACAAGGGACTAAGGGGAAACTGCATACGAAATTTGAGAAAGATCCATCCAGTACTTTCCAAGAAATAGCAGTAACAAACTTTTACTTCCAAAATCCAAGATGGCTGCCTGTCGGCCATCTTGAATTCGAATCAGTCCAAAAAAGGTACAATGCACAACTAGGGACCAAGGGGAAACTGCATATGAAATTTGAGGAATATCCATCCTGTACTTTCTCAGAAATAGCAGTAACAAACTTTTACATCCAAAATCCAAGATGGCCACCTGTCGGCCATCTTGAATTCGAATCAGTCCAAAAAAGGTACAATGCACAACTAGGGACTAAGGGGAAACTGCATATGAAATTTGAGAAAGATCCATCCAGTACTTTTCCAGAAATAGCGGTAACAAACTTTTACTTCCAAAATCCAAGATGGCCATCTGTCGGCCATCTTGAATTCGAATCAGTCCAAAAAAGGTACAATGCACAACAAGGGACTAAGGGGAAACTGCATACGAAATTTGAGAAAGATCCATCCAGTACTTTCCAAGAAATAGCAGTAACAAACTTTTACTTCCAAAATCCAAGATGGCTGCCTGTCGGCCATCTTGAATTCGAATCAGTCCAAAAAAGGTACAATGCACAACTAGGGACCAAGGGGAAACTGCATATGAAATTTGAGAAAGATCCATCCAGTACTTTTCCAGAAATAGCGGTAACAAACTTTTACTTCCAAAATCCAAGATGGCCACCTGTCGGTCATCTTGAATGCGAATCAGTTAAAGAAAGGTACAATGCACAACTAGGGACCAAGGGGAACCTGCATATGAAATTTGAGAAAGATCCATCCAGTACTTTTCCAGAAATAGCGGTAACAAGAATTGTTTATGGACGGACGGACGCCTAGACAGACGGACCACGGACGCAGGGCGATTTGAATAACCCACCATCTATTAGATGTGGGCTAAATATAGCAAAGCCAATATCCTATTAAAGCTTATAATTGTTAAAGATTATAAGGGAATGATCATTACATGTATAACGTCACACATTTACGGTTATGATACCAATTCATCACGAACCACATCACTGTATATGTTATCTTAATACAGACCACTTTGATTCAACAATGCAACAAATGAAACATTATACAATTCTAGTGAGCAATATGTTTTCTATACTTCAGGTAGGTGCAATGTTGACAATTATAACTGAAAATTTTTAATATCTTTTTACCCAAAGTTAAAGCAACTTAGACTAATGAATATCACTGTGGAGCTTTTGGAAGTTTGGATCTTAAGGCAGTTGACAGCAAGAAACCTTATCACATTTAATCAGGGATTCCACCCTAATTGAACTGCACCACCCAATCATCTTTGGTGAGGATCATCAATTTGCAATCATTATATCCACAGGTTTTAGAAAACATTTCTGATTATATATCAATTTTTTCTTTTCTGACTTACATTTCCATTATAAATACTGACTCATTCTCACTCTTCCTGATTAATTTAGCCGATATCCTTGTAAAACATATAAATTAAATATATTACTATAACATTTTACTTTCTTTGTGTCAAATTATTTCAAGATCATTGTTTTTGTGTTCAATAACATTGAACAATGCAGTTATAGATCATTATAGCATTAGCCTTCAATAAGTTCAGGGGTCGTTTGTATTCAGTGTCAGGGGATGGACTTATTAAGGAAATAGCATTAGTTTACAATTTTACTGAATAGCTATATATACATTATATGGGTGGACTTATTACCAGGTATGGGTGGACTTATTACCAGGTATGGGTGGACTTATTATCAGATAGGGTGGACTTATTACCAGGTATGGGTGGACTTATAATCAGATAGGGTGGACTTATTACCAGGTATGGGTGGACTTATTATCAGGTATGGGTCGACTTATAAGCAGGTATGGGTGGACTTATTATCAGGTATGGGTGGACTTATTATCAGGTATGGGTGGACTTATTATCAGGTATGGGTGGACTTATAACCAGGTATGGGTGGACTTATTATCAGGTATGGGTCGACTTATTATCAGGTATGAGTGGACTTATTACCAGGTATGAGTGGACTTATTATCAGGTATGGGGTGGACTTATTATCAGGTATGGGTGGACTTATTATCAGATAGGGTGGACTTATTACCAGGTATGGGTGGACTTATTATCAGATAGGGTGGACTTATTATCAGATAGGGTGGACTTATTATCAGATAGGGTGGACTTATTACCAGGTATGGGTCGACTTATCACCAGGTATGGGTGGACTTATTATCAGGTATGGGGTCGACTTATTATCAGGTATGGGTGGACTTATTATCAGATAGGGTGGACTTATTATCAGATAGGGTGGACTTATTATCAGATAGGGTGGACTTATTACCAGGTATGGGTGGACTTATTACCAGGTATGGGGTGGACTTATTATCAGGTATGGGTCGACTTATCACCAGGTATGGGGTGGACTTATTACCAGGTATGGGTGGACTTATTATCAGGTATGGGTCGACTTATCACCAGGTATGGGGTGGACTTATAACCAGGTATGGGTGGACTTATTATCAGATAGGGTGGACTTATTACCAGATATGGGTGGACTTATTACCAGGTATGGGTGGACTTATAACCAGGTATGGGTGGACTTATAACCAGGTATGGTTGGCCTTATAACCAGGTATGGGTGGACTTATAACCAGGTATGGGTGGACTTATTATCAGGTATGGGTGGACTTATAACCAGGTATGGGTGGACTTATAACCAGGTATGGTTGGCCATATCACCAGATATGGGTGGGCTTATTACCAGGTTTAGGCTTATTGACAAATACATATAGTAGGTATAACACAAGTTTGTTTATGATTCTAAAGGTCATACAGGCACCGTTTTAAACAAATACAGTAGCTGACTACTGTAGTATTAATCAGTATAGCACCTTCTGTGTCACCACGAACACCAACACACAGACTATGTTTAGCAGGTCCAGTATTGTATAATGCACCTATTTGAGGACCAAGAAACACTTAAATGGCTTTTGTACAATACAGTTGAGTCACAAATAGCACCATCCATGTCACCAGCACACATCATTACAAAGCTAGTGCTGGTGTGTCAACACAAGTTCACTGATATGGAGTATGGAACTGTCTTTGTCACTAAATACATCTGGAAATCTTCTGTACATGTAACCGGTCAGCTTTAGGCATTTACATGAAGTCAACTCCCTTCTAAAGCGGTACCTGGTGGAGGAATGTACTAAATGGAATACAGTACAGCTTGTATCACAGCCAAGTCCTGTAATGAGAAAGTAGCAGTCTATACATGTAATACTTTGAGACTCGTCAGGTTGTAGAATAAGGATACTCCACCTGAGGGGTCACACTATATCGTAAAGACCCTGAGGGTTTTACCATATTTTGTGACCTCGAGGATGAATATCCCATCTTCCATCTGGACATATGTCGTATGCATCTAACTGATTTTAATAGCAGGGATAATTTTTTGTTAACAAATCTACACAGTGACTTTCTCAGTGAAATGAAATAAATATTTACAACTAAAACATTTTCTGTCGTACACCTTTTCTGCATCTTTTTTTCCATGGTTCAAATGTTTGTGTTGTGACTGAAAGCTTGATGTTAAAGGGTGTGTAATATACCGATGATCTTTCTGAGCAGGTACATATATGTGATAACATACCTGTGGACAGGTGAAGAGAATAGACTGTGCTATAAATAGCTCTTTCTTTGCTTTGTCGTACCTCCACATGTGTAACACATGACCTATATAAAATATAAATGTTTAAGAAATCTCTAAACCAGTAAAGATCAGAATATTATAATCAAATTCCATCTTTATAATAATCTACAATGATAAATCAGATTTATACTAGAAGCACAGTCACTAAAGTCTTATCTACAATGATAGATCAGATTTATACTAAAACCACATTCACTAAAGTCTTATCTACAATGATAGATCAGATTTATACTAAAACCACAGTCACTTAAGTCTTATCTACAATGATAGATCAGATTTATACTAGAAGCACATTCACTAAAGTCTTATCTACAATGATATATCAGATTTATACTAAAACCACAGTCACTTAAGTCTTATCTACAATGATAGATCAGATTTATACTAGAAGCACATTCACTAAAGTCTTATCTACAATGATAGATCAGATTTATACTAAAACCACAGTCACTTAAGTCTTATCTACAATGATAGATCAGATTTATACTAGAAGCACAGTCACTAAAGTCTTATCTACAATGATAGATCAGATTTATACTAAAACCACAGTCACTAAAGTCTTATCTACAATGATAGATCAGATTTATACTAAAACCACATTCACTAAAGTCTTATCTACAATGATAGATCAGATTTATACTAAAACCACATTCACTAAAGTCTTATCTACAATGATAGATCAGATTTATACTAAAACCACATTCACTAAAGTCTTATCTACAATGATAGATCAGATTTATACTAAAACCACAGTCACTTAAGTCTTATCTACAATGATAGATCAGATTTATACTAAAACCACAGTCACTTAAGTCTTATCTACAATGATAGATCAGATTTATACTAGAAGCACATTCACTAAAGTCTTATCTACAATGATATATCAGATTTATACTAAAACCACAGTCACTTAAGTCTTATCTACAATGATAGATCAGATTTATACTAGAAGCACATTCACTAAAGTCTTATCTACAATGATAGATCAGATTTATACTAAAACCACAGTCACTAAAGTCTTATCTACAATGATAGATCAGATTTATACTAGAAGCACAGTCACCTAAGTCTTATCTACAATGATAGATCAGATTTATACTAAAACCACAGTCACTAAAGTCTTATCTACAATGATAGATCAGATTTATACTAGAAGCACATTCACTTAAGTCTAAGTAACACAACATGTATCCTACATAATAATACCACTCTGAACCATTAAGAGAAAGACAAACTCATGTTAGTATGTAAATATCTGGTATGACTTCTTTTCCTCATAGACATGTCACTGTTTTATCAATTCTAGAATGTGTGAAATAAACTTTGTGATAACTAACTGGAGTCTAAGATGTCCAAACGGGCCTTGCTAATCTGAAACTCTGTTGACATAAGTCCAGACTGGCCTCACCAATCTGAAACTCTGTTGACATAAGTCCAGACTGGCCTCACCAATCTGAAACTCTGTTGATATGAGTCCAGACTGGCCTCACCAATCTGAAACTCTGTTGACATAAGTCCAGACTGGCCTCACCAATCTGAAACTCTGTTGATATGAGTCCAGACTGGCCTCACCAATCTGAAACTCTGTTGATATGAGTCCAGACTGGCCTCACCAATCTGAAACTCTGTTGACAGAAGTCCAGACTGGCCTCACCAATCTGAAACTCTGTTGACATAAGTCCAGACTGGCCTCACCAATCTGAAACTCTGTTGACATAAGTCCAGACTGGCCTCACCAATCTGAAACTCTGTTGACAGAAGTCCAGACTGGCCTCACCAATCTGAAACTCTGTTGATATGAGTCCAGACTGGCCTCACCAATCTGAAACTCTGTTGATATGAGTCCAGACTGGCCTCACCAATCTGAAACTTTGTTGACAGAAGTCCAGACTGGCCTCACTAATCTGAAACTCTGTTGACATAAGTCCAGACTGGCCTCACTAATCTGAAACTCTGTTGACAGAAGTCCAGACTGGCCTCACTAATCTGAAACTCTGTTGACAGAAGTCCAGACTGGCCTCACCAATCTGAAACTTTGTTGACAGAAGTCCAGACTGGCCTCACTAATCTGAAACTCTGTTGACAGAAGTCCAGACTGGCCTCACTAATCTGAAACTTTGTTGACAGAAGTCCAGACTGGCCTCACCAATCTGAAACTTTGTTGACAGAAGTCCAGACTGGCCTCACCAATCTGAAACTTTGTTGACAGAAGTCCAGACTGGCCTCACTAATCTGAAACTCTGTTGACATAAGTCCAGACTGGCCTCACTAATCTGAAACTCTGTTGACAGAAGTCCAGACTGGCCTCACTAATCTGAAACTTTGTTGACAGAAGTCCAGACTGGCCTCACCAATCTGAAACTTTGTTGATATGAGTCCAGACTGGCCTCACTAATCTGAAACTTTGTTGATATGAGTCCAGACTGGCCTCACCAATCTGAAACTCTGTTGATATGAGTCCAGACTGGCCTCACTAATCTGAAACTCTGTTGATATGAGTCCAGACTGGCCTCACTAATCTGAAACTTTGTTGATATGAGTCCAGACTGGCCTCACTAATCTGAAACTCTGTTGATATGAGTCCAGACTGGCCTCACTAATCTGAAACTTTGTTGACAGAAGTCCAGACTGGCCTCACTAATCTGAAACTTTGTTGACATGAGTCCAGACTGGCCTCACTAATCTGAAACTCTGTTGACAGAAGTCCAGACTGGCCTCACCAATCTGAAACTTTGTTGACAGAAGTCCAGACTGGCCTCACTAATCTGAAACTCTGTTGACAGAAGTCCAGACTGGCCTCACTAATCTGAAACTCTGTTGATATGAGTCCAGACTGGCCTCACCAATCTGAAACTTTGTTGACAGAAGTCCAGACTGGCCTCACCAATCTGAAACTCTATTGACATAAGTCCAGACTGGCCTCACCAATCTGAAACTCTATTGACATAAGTCCAGACTGGCCTCACCAATCTCACCAATCTGAAACTCTGTTGATATGAGTCCAGACTGGCCTCACTAATCTGAAACTTTGTTGATATGAGTCCAGACTGGCCTCACCAATCTGAAACTTTGTTGACAGAAGTCCAGACTGGCCTCACTAATCTGAAACTCTGTTGATATGAGTCCAGACTGGCCTCACCAATCTGAAACTCTGTTGACAGAAGTCCAGACTGGCCTCACTAATCTGAAACTCTGTTGACAGAAGTCCAGACTGGCCTCACTAATCTGAAACTCTGTTGACAGAAGTCCAGACTGGCCTCACTAATCTGAAACTCTGTTGATATGAGTCCAGACTGGCCTCACCAATCTGAAACTCTGTTGACAGTCTGTCTGTTGATATGAGTCCAGACTGGCCTCACCAATCTGAAACTCTGTTGACATAAGTCCAGACTGGCCTCACCAATCTGAAACTCTGTTGATATGAGTCCAGACTGGCCTCACTAATCTGAAACTCTGTTGACAGAAGTCCAGACTGGCCTCACTAATCTGAAACTCTGTCCAGACTGGCCTCACATCTGAAACTCTGTGGCCTCACCAATCTGAAACTCTTGTTGACATGAAGTCCAGACTGGCCTCACCAATCTGAAACTCTGTTCTGACTTGATATGAGTCCAGACTGTCACCAATCTGATAAGTCCAGACTGGCCTCACCAATCTGAAACTCTGTTGACATATCTGGCCTCACCAATCTGAAACTTTGTTGACAGAAGTCCAGACTGGCCTCACTAATCTGAAACTCTGTTGATATGAGTCCAGACTGGCCTCACTAATCTGAAACTCTGTTGATATGAGTCCAGACTGGCCTCACCAATCTGAAACTCTGTTGATATGAGTCCAGACTGGCCTCACCAATCTGAAACTCTGTTGATATGAGTCCAGACTGGCCTCACTAATCTGAAACTCTGTTGATATGAGTCCAGACTGGCCTCACCAATCTGAAACTCTGTTGATATGAGTCCAGACTGGCCTCACCAATCTGAAACTCTGTTGATATGAGTCCAGACTGGCCTCACTGAAACTCTGTTGATATGAGTCCAGACTGGCCTCACTAATCTGAAACTCTGTTGATATGAGTCCAGACTGGCCTCACCAATCTGAAACTCTGTTGATATGAGTCCAGACTGGCCTCACCAATCTGAAACTCTGTTGATATGAGTCCAGACTGGCCTCACCAATCTGAAACTCTGTTGATATGAGTCCAGACTGGCCTCACCAATCTGAAACTCTGTTGATATGAGTCCAGACTGGCCTCACCAATCTGAAACTCTGTTGATATGAGTCCAGACTGGCCTCACCAATCTGAAACTCTGTTGATATGAGTCCAGACTGGCCTCACTAATCTGAAACTCTGTTGATATGAGTCCAGACTGGCCTCACCAATCTGAAACTCTGTTGATATGAGTCCAGACTGGCCTCACCAATCTGAAACTCTGTTGATATGAGTCCAGACTGGCCTCACCAATCTGAAACTCTGTTGATATGAGTCCAGACTGGCCTCACTAATCTGAAACTTTGTTGAAGTATGTCTAAACGTTATGGTCACCTTTTCTGTATTAAATCATAGAGGTATTAATCTGTATAATCCAGACCATGTCTATGTTTTATAAATAAAAAATCAATTTACAGACTTCAAACTCGAAGTTGGGGTGGGTTTATTACAGAACATTGAAATAAAATTAAATATGTTGATAATGTTAACGAAATACTATATAGGTGGGCTTGAACATAACATGTACTAAGATCTACCAAAACCTTTTTGCCACTGCAGTGACAACTGTTCTTTACCTTGAACTGAATTTGAGTAGTTTCCATAAGCATCTGCAACAAAAAATGAGCCCTCAGAGACACTGAACTGTTCATACTTCACTAAGTTCACGAAAATATCCTGGACTAAAGGCTTGAAGAGTGATGTCCCAGTCGATCGCCAGGATTCTGTGATATAAGTTGTCTCATTCTTTCTCACTGGCAAGAATTTCCTACCTGTAATCAAAAAATATTCCATACCAATACATTAGATATACTCTCTTTCTTGGCAAGAACAAGGGGTGATAACTCTTCCAACAATTCCATGAGATTAATCTAAAAGTACAAGAGGAGATCTCTGGACAAAAAACAGTTTGTTTGCTAGGTTTATCCCCTTGGTAACAGTCAGGGTAATTCTATGGCGAGGTTATCTTGAACTAGCTGGTGGTTACCTCACTGAACAACACATGAGAGGCCCATCACATGCTATCCAGAGCTCGTCAATTTTTCAGCTGCCTAATTAGAAACACAAACTACCACAGGTAAACCTTTTCATCATATTGTGAAGTAGAACACCCTATGGATTGATGTATTATTTACAACAAATGGACATACCAAAGAATTACACTATACAATAAAATATGTCTCATCCAAATGTGTATTAAAATAACCCACAACATAGTCATTAAAATCCCTCGCCTGTGTTCATTAGTAAAATAAACCATGACATAGTCATTAAAATCCCTCGCCTGTGTTCATTAGTAAAATAACCCACGACATAGTCATTAAAATCCGTCGCCTGTGTTCATTAGTAAAATAACCCATGACATAGTCGTCAAAATCCCTCGCCTGTGTTCATTAGTAAAATAACCCACAACATAGTCATCAAAATCCCTCGCCTGTGTTCATTAGTAAAATAACCCACGACATAGTCATCAAAATCCCTTGCCTGTGTTCATTAGTAAAATAACCCACGACATAGTCATCAAAATCCCTCACCTGTGTTCATTAGTAAAATATATACATTTAAAGGAAGCAACATGGAAAACTGGAATACATATCAGCTAATCAGGTCACAGTAGCCTCATTAAATATGTGCAGAATTTGCCATTAATCAAACTTCGGCAAGGGATTAAGGTAACAGGTGTACTAACCAAGTTTCATCAAATCTGACCAGTCCTTCAAATGATATCACTTAGAAAGCAGCATCCGGACGGCTGGATGGAAGGACGTACAGAAGGAATTCTTTTTGGCAGAGGATAAAAACTCTAAACACTACTAACAGATGCTCTGAAACACATTCCTCAATTTACTGAAATAAAATAGAATTTTACTTACCACAAGAACAGGGAGGAACTCCATGTGACTGTTGGTTGATTTCCTCCAGGGACTCATCCATCCTCTGTCGTTTAGAACTTTGGTGTGATACATCCATCACGTTGGGCCACACATTGCTGTTATTGTTGTTTAAGGGAATGAAAGTACTCATCTCTGACTGAAACTGTAAAACAACATTAAATTATATTTAATTCTTACATTCTTCTGTTAGTACTGCTTTGCTATGTTGTCTTGTAGCAGGTGTACATCATAATCACCCTATAAAAACCACTAATGTTTTCCTGAAAAGCTTTGTCATTTACACCGACAATAAAAACCAAAGCAATGTTTTTCAACGCTTCTGTCTTTGATTTCCTGACAGTTTGGTACGTTGGCTGGACCAGTAGTTTTGAAGGTGAACGGTTTACACTGTCCTTTTAGTACGCTTGGATAAAGTTGATGTTTAACTTTTTTCTAATTAGTTATATCAGCATGGTTTAGATATTAAGCTGCGAGATGGACCACTTTAAAGAACATTATATATCTATACAGGTTTTGTTTATTTCTTCATTTTTTTCATATTTTTCTCTTTTTTCATTTTGCAAAAAGCAACATGCATCACATTTATTTTCCTGGAATTCTTTCATAATAATTCAATTACTTTGTTTGAAAAAATGCACCTACTGTATAAAGCCATTGTGGACACTAAACTTCCTAGTAAGATCTTCTGTACCCACAACTTTTACACTGATCCTGAAGACAGCCACAGCTCAGATTCTTTAAAGAAGCATCTCATTTTCTGAATGCAACCCCTTGCTTACCAAGTCTGTTATTCTAACAATGAACTCAAACACAGACTCAAAAAGTCAGTGGTACTCTCAACTTCTACATAGAGAGTACCGTAAAACTACCAAACTGAAAAACTACAACTGCATATAAATCTGTAACCCTGGTAAATACTAGCTCCAATATATAGATAAGCTAACAAGAACTTCTCTTCAGTTTGATCGGTTGTGTCAAACTAATAAGCCAGAGGTTCCAGGTTCGAATCTTAGCAGAGGCATTGAAATATATAATGAACTGTGGCCTTACATATACGTCTAAGACCCATGTAGGTACACTGCCAAATTTGGGAGTGACAAATATGGATCCACTATGTACTGTGCTTACTGTACTAAGTATAAATGCTAAATGATCAGGACAATCACAATTAAGATTATTGTCAAATTTCAGCAAATACTTGACTGATAAATCTAACATATATATAGTGATCGTATATATATATGGTTATTGATGTCAGCTTATATATATATATAGAAACTGGAAAATAGTGTGCCGATCACTAACATACATTAACATATACTAATATAATAATGTTATATTGTTTCTGGTCTGGGCAACTCTATAAAAATGTACATTTAAACAGCTGACAATAGCATGGTGTCATACCACAACACAAAGGATGTCACAGATAAAATATTCCGGTTTGAGGAGACACGTAAAATGTAAGACAAACCCGTGACGGTATGACATCCGCGTAAAGGTCATTAAAAATTAACAATTATAAAACTATAAATTTGAGAAAACACTCTAGAACATATCATAGTAAAATTGTAATATTCTGTACGTTTAAACCAGATAATCAGAATACAACGCTACAGGCTTTTAAGGTGAATGCCATCTAATTTTGGACTGTAAATAAAACCATAAACAAGTTACCTGTGTATGTTTATACCTGAAGTTTGAAGTCTTTGTTCAAGTTTTGTCGAGGAGATAGCTACATTCTTGGCGAAATGTATCATTTTTGGAATTCATATACTCCGTTTACTTACCGAGATAACACTGAAACGTTCTAGATGTCTGCCCTTGTCAAATGTGAACTCTCGTCAATCGTTGTGTATTAAGCGCCAGTTCCCTCCATTATTTACAACTAAAGTAGGTCATGTGTCTATTTTTAGATGGACACATTTCGATGTCATGAAGCGTTAATCGTACAGTTGAAGACTTATATTTGAAAATGTAAACTTGTTTTGATCTAGCTTTTCTCTCTCTCTCCGCAATTGTGCTTAATCAATATCAATGTGTGAAGCGAGTGAGCTCCACTTCCGGTATTTATTTACTTTCGTTTTGCCAGGATGGCTGCTGTACGCCTACAGTATTGGGTAATTGATGATAATTACCAGAAAAAGAAAATAGATGCATTAGTGTAACCATAAACAGAGAATTGGATATTTTGTCAAAACAACAGTCAATATAGTTCTGTTTACGCTTCACGTTGCCGATTTTCAATACGCATGGTCTATTCCGTATATCTATATAGTGAACACATTTTACCAGTGGCTCAGTTTATTAATGAACACTGAAGGCACACAGAATTTCTGCTGATTTTCTTTCTTTTCCTTTTTGATAAATCATATCGAAGCATACTGTCAGAAAGTAATTTATTTCAGATGGTATTAATTTTCCTTCTATTCATTTTATGTCTGTTCTCAGGTAAATAACAGATATATTGAACCCTACCAGTCCAAAGGAGGACATTCAGGATTCCAATTCCTTTCTTACGACATTTCATGACCTCACCTTTCCCATGAAGTTTGTTCTATCTATAAGTCTACATACCAGTATTTATGTTTGACACGGTCCAGTGTACAATATATCAGAGGTTGAGAAATAATGAAATCTCCTAATTTCCCCTCTGCCGTATATTTGGGCCCAAATTTAATACATCAATGAAGGATGTGTTGTGCATTTTCATTAATTGGAGGTCAATATTTTGTTGTTGTTTTTGCTTTGTTTTTCTTTTACTTTCTTTGCAATATATCAGAGGTTGTGAAATAATGAAATCTCACAATTGAATTTCCCCTCTCCTGTACAAATGTATATTTAGAACCAGATTTAATACATCATTGATGGTTGTGTTGTACGTTTTTATTCATTTAGAGGTCGATGTCTTTTCCTTTTCTTTACTTTTCTTATTTTTTTAACAAAAAGATTATTGTAGAATTAAAGAAGAATGTTGACCCGTTTGTATTGATATGTAATGTGCAGTTGTATAGCTACATATTTACTGTATAATTGATTACAAAATCCCTGAGAGTTTGGATGGGTTTTGTTCTAGCAGGTGTTTAAATCTCACATTGTTGAGTAGGCAGTTTTTTAAAACCCTCATTGCACAGAAGTTGTAATATGTCGTCCCTATTGCCTGATCTTGATTCAGAAGACAATATTTTGAAATATTGACAAAAGTGTAAGTTATGTATATGTGCATGGATGCTGATATGGCGCAACGTTTTGGAATAAACTAAATGTAAAAACATGAAAGAAAATCATAAAGAAAAAAATCATTCTAATGAGAACAGTTTATTGCTTACAATGACAGAACAAAAAGTGTCATAGTTATTTTTTTCCAACAAAATGATTTTTATTCTGAGCATTCTTACAAGTAACCTTCCTTTCACACAACCTTTTACAACACTGTTGAAAATTCATCTTTCATTCTTATTAATAAAATAATATTTAAACAATTTATCTGGCGAAAAACTCCATACATAGGCATCCAAAACAGGAACATTTATTATAAAAATACAACTTATGAAAACTGTGCAAAAACAGAAAAGTTATAGCAAAATTTACATTACTTAAAGGACAGTATGTGTAGCTAAAAAATATAATGACAAAATACATAATGATTATCATAACTTCAGAAAAGGAGACGATGAATCAATGTTTACCTTAAACTAGAAAATGCCCCTGCCTCCATATATAGATGTATCATTAACTGATGAATTTGTAAAAGTTGTCAAATGCAACCTTTGACCTTTAACCTTGACTGACAATCATCTTAATATGATAAGGTTTAGACTTTAATGCTGTGGTACTAATGGGGGTAAATATGAAACAAGTGTGTTTAAAAGTTCTTAAAATAAAACTTTGATTCTGAATTGGACAGGATGTGATGTGATGGGATGGACGGACATAGATAATACACTCTACTATAATTTTGATGTCCTGAGAAAAAACCAAACCAACTGATAAATGTTCCTGTGACCCTGTGAATAAAACAATTATCACTATATTCAAAGGTACACATATTTCTTGCATTACAAATGTAGAAATATTTCTCTTAATATAGTTACTTGTGAAAAGAAAATCCAGAATTCCATATGAGTCAAAGTACAGGGACCATCATGACCTGTTGATAACATGAACAGTTATACAGTTTGTGTTAACATTGTAACTGTATGCTATGGGACATCTCACCACAACATGTGTGATGATTACAGAAACTGTATTATAGAACTACAGATTTGTATTGTCATGTATCTACTGTAGTGGCATCTAGTTTAGAAGACCATGCTAACAAGTCCTCCACTTCTTCATCCAACGGATCATCTCTCTTCCCTGTACTGGGAGGTGGGACAGCTGAAGGAGCTGAAATAATGTTAAAAAATCATGTAATCTCTAAAAGTAAAGTCTTACAGGAAATAAACTCTGAAATAGATATTTCAAACTGATGAAAAGCAGAAATCTTCAAAGGATGTTTTCAGCTGTCAAAACTTTTATTTGTCTCTCTCAACTTACAATTTATAAATATTTTCTAATATCAAGTGTTGACAAATAAAATGGAAATTAAACCTGGTTTCCAAACGGGAAAAATACATTAAATTCCCTGAACCCTGCTAAGTAATTATCACTAAACTGGTTATAAGACTTACTCGGGGATATTCTAGGAGGAAGATATATTTTTCTCATTCTGTTCAGTTTGGCCATCTTTGCTGCTTTCTCATCCTCTGCCACTGGTTTATCTGTGAACTTTCCGTACATCAAATCATCATGCCTTAAAAAAAAAATGTAGTGGAATTGTATCAAAATTACTGTGTAATGGAATTTTCAGGTAAAAATCCAAATATGTAAAATATTCAAAGTATACTGAACGTTTCTTGAGCCTGACATGTTTTCTGTAACCCATGTTCATCAGACGTTCTCAAAATTCAAATATCTGGAAACAATAGTTGTAAGAGGTGGTGGAAAGACAGGGCCCCTTACAAATCCCTGGAAACAATAGCTGTAAGAGGTGGTGGAAAGACAGGGCCCCTTACAAATCCCTGGAAACAATAGGAGTAAGAGGTGGTGGAAAGACAGGGCCCCTTACAAATCCCTGGAAACAATAGCTGTAAGAGGTGGTGGAAAGACAGGGCCCCTTACAAATCCCTGGAAACAATAGCTGTAAGAGGTGGTGGAAAGACAGGGCCCCTTACAAATCCCTGGAAACAATAGCTGTAAGAGGTGGTGGAAAGACAGGGCCCCTTACAAATCCCTGGAAACAATAGCTGTAAGAGGTGGTGGAAAGACAGGGCCCCTTACAAATCCCTGGAAACAATAGCTGTAAGAGGTGGTGGAAAGACAGGGCCCCTTACAAATCCCTGGAAACAATAGCTGTAAGAGGTGGTGGAAAGACAGGGCCCCTTACAAATCCCTGGAAACAATAGCTGTAAGAGGTGGTGGAAAGACAGGGCCCCTTACAAATCCCTGGAAACAATAGCTGTAAGAGGTGGTGGAAAGACAGGGCCCCTTACAAATCCCTGGAAACAATAGCTGTAAGAGGTGGTGGAAAGACAGGGCCCCTTACAAATCCCTGGAAACAATAGTAGTAAGAGGTGGTGGAAAGACAGGGCCCCTCAAATCCCTGGAAACAATAGCTGTAAGAGGTGGTGGAAAGACAGGGCCCCTTACAAATCCCTGGAAACAATAGCTGTAAGAGGTGGTGGAAAGACCCCCTTACAAATCCCTGGAAACAATAGCTGTAAGAGGTGGTGGAAGAGGGAAACAATAGCTGTAAGAGGTGGTGGAAAGACAGGGCCCCTTACAAATCCCTGGAAACAATAGCTGTAAGAGGTGGTGGAAAGACAGGGCCCCTTACAAATCCCTGGAAACAATAGCTGTAAGAGGTGGTGGAAAGACAGGGCCCCTTACAAATCCCTGGAAACAATAGCTGTAAGAGGTGGTGGAAAGACAGGGCCCCTTACAAATCCCTGGAAACAATAGCTGTAAGAGGTGGTGGAAAGACAGGGCCCCTTACAAATCCCTGGAAACAATAGTAGTAAGAGGTGGTGGAAAGACAGGGCCCCTTACAAATCCCTGGAAACAATAGCTGTAAGAGGTGGTGGAAAGACAGGGCCCCTTACAAATCCCTGGAAACAATAGTAGTAAGAGGTGGTGGAAAGACAGGGCCCCTTACAAATCCCTGGAAACAATAGTAGTAAGAGGTGGTGGAAAGACAGGGCCCCTTACAAATCCCTGGAAACAATAGTAGTAAGAGGTGGTGGAAAGACAGGGCCCCTTACAAATCCCTGGAAACAATAGTAGTAAGAGGTGGTGGAAAGACAGGGCCCCTTACAAATCCCTGGAAACAATAGCTGTAAGAGGTGGTGGAAAGACAGGGCCCCTTACAAATCCCTGGAAACAATAGCCCTGTAAGAGGTGGTGGAAAGACAGGGCCCCTTACAAATCCCTGGAAACAATAGCTGTAAGAGGTGGTGGAAAGAGGTGGTGGAAAGACAGGGCCCCTTACAAATCCCTGGAAACAATAGCTGTAAGAGGTGGTGGAAAGACAGGGCCCCTTACAAATCCCTGGAAACAATAGCTGTAAGAGGTGGTGGAAAGACAGGGCCCCTTACAAATCCCTGGAAACAATAGCTGTAAGAGGTGGTGGAAAGACAGGGCCCCTTACAAATCCCTGGAAACAATAGCTGTAAGAGGTGGTGGAAAGACAGGGCCCCTTACAAATCCCTGGAAACAATAGTAGTAAGAGGTGGTGGAAAGACAGGGCCCCTTACAAATCCCTGGAAACAATAGTAGTAAGAGGTGGTGGAAAGACAGGGCCCCTTACAAATCCCTGGAAACAATAGCTGTAAGAGGTGGTGGAAAGACAGGGCCCCTTACAAATCCCTGGAAACAATAGCTGTAAGAGGTGGTGGAAAGACAGGGCCCCTTACAAATCCCTATAGTCAGACATGAAGGCTGAAATACTGTGAGCTAGTTATTATCATCTAATTAAAATACAGAAAAGTTTCACAAGATCACCCAAAACTGTAAATTAGAATGTTTCACAAAGTTCTGAGTTGTTCCTAAAAGATCAAAGACATAATGTGTTCATGGGAATTTCTTTGGACCTATTTCACCAAAGAGACTGTTATTATGTTTATAGCAATTTTGAATGAATTGACAGTGATGTCAAAGTCATTTTCATAACGTCATGACGACAATAAAGTAATGTCATGGTCATACAAAAGTAACAAAGGTCATAGTCACTGTAATGTCATGATAACATGAAAGTCAAGTCATAGTAATGTCATGAAAATTTCACAGCAATGTAAAATATCCCAGTAATGTCACAAAATACTGACCACGGGGCCAACACATTACTTCTGATACAAAATTAGGGGCTGGGCTTACAGGACAATGTAATGTCTTTTATTAAATAGCATTGCCTTACAAGTTTACTGAACATCAATACAAATGAGTGGGCGTATTTCCAGACATGGACTTATTGCCAGACAGATATAGTATTGATACAAGTTTCCAGTAAACCAGAGATCTCAGGGTAATTAGGAAACTCACTCTTCAATTTGTCTTTTCATTTGTTCCTCTATTTCTTCTTGTGGGAGACCTAAGTGAGCTTTCTGCAGCAAGGGCTGATCTTTGATGGATTCCAGCACTGAAACCAAAGGCAAACAATGATGTTTCTTCAACAAAGCATGCTTATCTAAATAGAAATCTTGTAACCAAAGAAGCAGGCAAACGCATTGTACAAAATTCTAAATTTCATGTCTTTTAAGGTTTTTTTTGTCTTTTCTTTTTCTACTCTTAATTTTTTGGGTTATTTTTTTTTTAAGTTTTACTAATTTCAATGTCTTCACGCTTGTTGTACATGTATCCTCTTTTTCACTGTATTTAATCCAATTGCTTGGCAATATGATCCATTTTTTTCAGGATCTGCCTGCCATGGTACTTTTTTATTTCTGTACAAATAAGGATGAATGCTGATATTGTTTTTCATATTTGTATACTATTCATAATCATAAATTTGTCTAGTTGTACAAGTTCCCACCCACTAGATCTATGAAAATTGTGATAATTTTCAGTTATGATGTTTACTGTAAGTGTTTTGAGTCTGAACACCCACATTCATGTACTACGTGTTAAACTCTAATGATTATGATCATGTATGCTATCATCTGTAAAGGATTAAGATTGTTCCTTTTTCATTACACTGGGGATTGGTTTTGCTTTCTTTTCAAGAAACATTTTGACAATTAAATAATATTTCATGAAAAAAACAATGGTGCCAAAATATTTCTTTCAGCAGAATAAGCTCACCTTGATGACAGACAAATTATTTAACAGAATCAGAGTCCTAAATATCTAGGCTTTTAGCACTGACCATATCATTAAAGTAAAAATTGTACATGTCTTTGTCTGCAGGTAAGAAAAAGAGTAAATAAAAAAAACAATGTATACTTGTCATGGGTCTATTCTGGTCATGTACCAACTCTCTCCAGTATACCCTATAGGCAAAATGGCTGCATTACCAAGAATTAACACTTGGTGAGATTAAGTCAGTGACCAATATCACATCTGCACTTCATAAGCACTAGGTCAACTTACATGGATTTTTCATTTCTGGCGTAGATTTAGAGGTAGCAATGCCACACCAAGTGGTGTGGTAATCATCAAATGACAGACGTGATATCCGAGAACCTGCCGTCCGTTGTGTGGGCTGTCTCGTGGGTATCTTCTCAGGGGTGGTGAACCTCACCCTTGATTCCATATCATGATGAGATGTCACACCAGCTGTACAACAAAAAAATAAGAATGTCACTCTGAGGATAACTAATACCCCCCACAAATGCAAAACTTCAGTTGCCATGATAACAAAAAATTTGGAAAAAACAATGACCCACAAAGGATGGTATTATCCCTGGCACCCAACTATTGGTGTTAAACCCAAATCTGATATACCAGGTATATAACAGTTTGTGACATCACTCAATTATATACATCTACTATCCAAGAAGATCTAATACAGTGAATGCACTAGTGCAAATTGTAACATCTTCTTTTGTCAATTATCGATTAAATTTCCTTACATCTCCTCGACTTCAACATTATATATATATATATATATACATATCAACCTTGTAGTAAGAGTTTATATCTTTATGTAGATCCTGTGTGTTTGACAAATTCATATAACATTCTCTAAGCTCTGGAGTGATACAAGAAGTCAAAAGAAATTGAAAATTTTGATGGTTACAGAAAAAAAAGATAACTAATAAAATGTCCTCAATAACCAAAGTCACAACTAGGGCACTAACCTAATATATACAGAAAGTTTTGTGGAGTTGAGAGGAATGGTTTTGAAGTTGTAGCCCAGAAAGGAAAGTTTACATTAATTTTGTAGGTATTTTTACAATGTTTCCATGGTAACAAAAAAAATATAAAATGAAATGGCATCAATAGCAAAAGGCACAGCTAGGGCACTAATCTGATATATAAAGAAACTTCTGTTGAGTTGAGTGGAATGGTTTTGAAGATGTAGCCTAGAAAGGAAAGTAAACACTGATTTTGTGATTTGTTTTATTATGTTTCAGCAAGTTTTGTGAGTTTAATGGTTTTGAAGTTGTAGCCTGGAAAAACCCCGGATGGATGGACGGACGGACTGACGCATGCATGTACACATATACACATACACACATTGACAAATGGACAGAGCCTCAATTAATATCCCTCAAAAATGCATTTTGCAGGCGATAAAAAAAAAATTTGCATGCACATCTACATATGATCCTTTATATTGATATCCAGACAGACCAAGAGGCATGCATACAGACAGGAGGGTTAGAATAACACTTTAGTGAGAACTAAACTGGATTATCAACAGGTCAAAGTAAGTAAGAACTCAGTTCTCAGTATTTTAGGTACCCACCATCTACCCTTTGACTAGAGGCGACACAGTAAGTAAGAACTCAGTTCTCAGTATTTTAGGTACCTACCGTCTACCCTTTGACTAGAGGCGACACAGTCTAGTACCATCTGTTTGTAAGCATGAGGAGAGTGTATTATCATCTCAGCAGCCTCTGGATTCACAGGTTTTATAAGGTTTGGATTGGCTAAAAGATTCTAAAAAAACAGAATAAAATGTTAGTTATATTGAAATTTTCAAACTCAAACCCAAATTATTCAAGCAATATGTTTTACACACATTCAATTTTTTCTTCATGAAAATAATGAAATCAAATCAGTTCATTCTGTCTTATCCAACATACTATTTTGTAATGTCATTTGATCCATTCTTTAAGAAAACTTTTAAATATGCAGATAAACTGTTTAATCTGACCTACAGGTGAATGTTCTATCTCTACAGTGTATAATAAAGAGATTTCAATTTATTTCAAAAACTGAAATTATCAGATCTTTAAAACAGGGGAGATAATCTGTGTTATATGTTCATGTTTAAAATAGTTGGTATATATAGTCACTACAAGTACATTCTGTCAAAGTGTTGAAGCATTCAAGATAGTAATGGGAATTACAATCAGAGAGAAATAATTTTTTCAGTGAAAAAAACTAAGTTTATGAAACAAGTAATAACTTGATGAAAATACAATAACATGATGATTTTTCAGTTTTGGAAATCATAATGATTAACTGTACTTACATAATAAAAGATTGAGGTACAGGGTACTACTGGTAAAGCCTTACCTGATAATACATGGTAGAGGATGAACTTACTGAACTGGATTGCGACATTTTGTGTTGAACTTAAAAAATCTACACACGAAGTCTAAACCTTTGAGGTATGACACCTACTCACGATATAGCATGTGCTAAATCTGAATTAATAAGATCCAGGGATAGAACAGGTAAAAACTGACAGGTATTTAACTAAATGTATCCAGCACAATAACAATGACCACACAATAGTAGACTAATTACCTATAATATGGTAGTTAACAACAGAACGATAAACAGCACTAATTACCCACTAACGAGGTAAGTTTTAACTACACAATTGTAGTAAAACACCTGTTTACCGATTTTCTATCCAGTAATTGATTTATTCTTATTCAATACTCAAATGCAGGTATGTAATGCTGTAAAATTATACATTTTTCATGTGGCTCAAATTTCATGGTTTACAGAAATAAACATTGTGATTGACACCTAATTTGTGGATAAATGTTGATCACAACAGCCACCAGTACTGTTATCCCTCTCAACTTTTATCTGTTTATCATATCGTGGACAAATAAATTCCTGGATCAGTGAAAATCAAAATAAATCCATCATATTTTACAATATTTCCAGGTTTTTGTTTTGTATTTTCATCCTGGCCTGTAGCTTATACAGAGAAAACATAACTGAAATAAACTATGACTCCTGATAGGGAAATGCATTTCTGATAAAACTTTATGTAACTTTACATAAAAATAGATCAAGACATATTTGTAAAGGATTGGTCAAGAAATCCAGTATTTCATGTCAGCATTATATGAAATTCTGAAAGAAGTATACTTATCTATTAACAGGAATTATATAACATGTATATTTAGATTTTCTGAACAAATTCACTTGTATATAATATAAAGCTGAGATGGATGAGAATTTGTACCTGTATTGTGATAAGGGAGTTGGGATTTTATAGCAAGATGATGAGAATTTGTACTTGTATTGTGATAAGGGAGTTGGGATTTTATAGTGATGATGAGAATTTGTACATGTATTGTGATAAGGGAGTTGGGATTTTATAGTGATAATGATGATGAGAATTTGTACTTGTATTGTGATAAGGAATTTGGGATTTTATAGTGATAAAGAAGGTGATAATGTGTACCTTTATAGTGATAAAGAAGGTGAGAATATGTATCTTTATAGTGATAAAGAATGTGATATTGTGTACCTGTCTAGTGATAAAGAAGGTGATAATGTGTACCTGTCTAGTGATAAAGAAGGTGATAATGTGTACCTGTCTAGTGATAAAGAAGGTGATAATGTGTACCTGTCTAGTGATAAAGAAGGTGATAATGTGTACCTGTCTAGTGATAAAGAAGGTGAGAATCTGTACCTGTCTAGTGATAAAGAAGGTGAGAATCTGTACCTTTATAGTGATAAAGAAGGTGAGAATCTGTACCTGTATAGTGATAAAGAAGGTGAGAATCTGTACCGGTCTAGTGATAAAGAAGGTGAGAATCTGTACCTGTATAGTGATGAGAATGTATGATAAACTGTAGGATTCCTTCCACTTGGAAAGATCGTCGAGGAAGTCTATACATGGACGGCCAGTAATCATATCCACTGAAATGAATCAAGTCTATATATACATATTTTATCCACTGAAATGAATCAAGTCTATATATACATATTTCATCCACTGAAATGAATCAAGTTTATATATACATATTTAATCTGTTCAATACTGCAACAAACCAGCAAATTGCTGGGAAGTTTCCTGCATGTCATTGAAACACTGAATATCATTTGAAATATCATCGAAATATATAACCTTATATGCAAATTCACTCTTTATTTTTAGATGCAATGTACCATTCATGTTAAGAGGATGCCAGTATTCATACACACTAATATTTCTGTCTTCATTGGCCTAAAGAGCTTGATCAGGCAGACTAATGTTTATAAACAATGATATATACATTTCTATAATTGTCACTTTTTTCCTGTGTTAGTACCACTGAACAACTGGTAAATGCTCATATGGTCATGGATACAATGTTTTAAAGAGTAATCCACAATCTACTACATGTGAAAATATTTAGTCTCATTAGTGTTTCAGATTTGGTGAAAACTGAAGCACATTTGTTTGTATGAACTTTGGGATTTTATGGGAAAAAGGGAAAACTCTGTATTAAGTGAAAACAAAGCCAGCAAACAGACAGTTTCAATAGGGATACTCCCCCACAAGAGTAAGATACTTAAACCTAAAATTTGATGATTACAAGCTACAGAAAACATGAGACATGTTTCCCATTTAGTAGTAGTACATCCACCAGGTACCCATAAATATCTTAAAATATTGGCTTGTTCCTACAAACATATATAGATATAAGGTTTTAAAGATATTTACTTACCATTAGGATGAAACGGAATGGTGTGGAAACAGATTTCAGGAGGTTTTTGGCTAAAGTGCTCATCAAACTTCACATACACACGAAATATGCCACCTAAATTAAGGAAATATGCAAAAATACAGTGGAAACCACTTAATGTCACATTAATAAATGTTACTTTCTGATTAATATCAGGATAAGAATTATGTAGAGATATACAGATGTATTGTTTATGATCAACAAAATATAAAGTTAGCAATGAAGCAATTAAATCATTATGATCTTTAAAACATTTGTGTCTTTTACAGTTTTTATCATCCTCACAACCAGGGTCATATGAGTATCTAAAGGTACTCCAAGAATGCAAACCAATATTGAAAGAAAGTGCTTTGTACATAATTCATAGAAATTCCTAAAAATGATGAATCAACTTTACATAATAAAGGAGTATATCTTAATTTAAAGTCTAACTTGTTTTTTGTGGGTTTGTCCATTGATGATGATATTTTTAAGGATTGAGGTACCAACCTTGCCATAATGTGTTCTTTAAACCTTTAATTTTGGCTGCCCATTCAAATATGTTGTCATCTTTTAGTGGTCTGGCTTCTATTCCCTGTAACAGACATCATGTGTGGTCTTTATAAAACATTTACAAATTGTCAAAGTAACAATTAACACAGTTTATTTTCTATATATAGATGAGCCTCTTAATTTTAAACTCATATAACTTGAAGACTTTGTTTGATTGAAGTATTTTGATAGTCATAGCCTAACTTCATACTAAACATTTAAAACCATTGAAACTGAATACTCAAATATCACAAGGTTTTCTTAATACACTCCTGCCGACAAGGTACATATCATTATAACATCAAGACATTCCTTTTCAGACAGCGATCACATTTTTGCTCGAGGTTTGTAGCATGATAACATCAATATCACAGGGTACAGTCTCACCCATCCATCTTAATACCAGTACATGACAAAATATCAACTGAACCTCATTACCTCAAACTCCTATAACTCGAAGACCTGTTAAATTTCATCAGTCCAGACCAAACTTCACATCAAACATTTAAAATGACTTAAACAGAAAACTTGGATAACTTGAAGTTTTCTCACAGTGCCACCAACTTTAAGACAACAATGTTCAACAGTAAATAAAGGGAAAATGACACTGAAGGGTATTTTATAGAAAAGTTGCAACCAACGAATATACTTACCCAAGGTGGGGCTTCACAAAGTTTTTCATATTCTCGTTCTATTAGCAAATGTGCCCTGGAAAACATTTCTGAAATGAAGAGTGAAGAAAATCTGGAATTGGCACTTGTATAACTTGTTCAATATCAGCTGCTTCCACTTCATCATACACTGTTGGTTCATATCATGTTTTCATAAAATCTTTTTTTTTTCTCTCTCTATTCTTAGAATTACCTGCTTGTAAATCTATTGTTTGATGGATTAGTCCATTTATTTCAACTGTAATAGGAAGGAGTAATGAAAACATCCTCCCCCGGCAGGTTTCAAACTAGCAACCCTTTGGTCTCTAGTCAGACTCTACTACTCAACTAAAGAGAAATTCTCCATACCAACAAGATGATGCTAGTAAGGCAATCTGTTCTTTCAACTTCTAAATTACTACCTCCTTCACAAAGTCTTCAATCTCAAAGACAACAACAACAGGCTCAATATCTCAATCTCCTATAGCTTCTACCCTTGGAGTGGTCAACAACACCAAAGTTGTAATAGCATGGAGTAATGAAAAACATCCTGCCACTGCTGGCTACTGCTGGTCTCTAGCCAGTCAATCTACTAATCCAGTTAAAGAATATTCCCACCAGTAGAGGCTAGTAAGGGACCTATAATCTCAACTTCAACACCATAATCTTTTCTGATTGATATAGGATTGATATATATATTGTTGTATGCTAATGATAATGCTCCTACACTATAAATCTAAACTTGAACTTTCCCATATCACATTTTGCTTTTGATAGCTATTTCCACAATCTCTGAAAATTAAAATCAAACTCGTATTTATTAATTTCTTAGATTACAAAGAGATATGTGCAGTCCATTCATATGATTATTTCATGTAGTGTAATCTACAAGCAAACATATTCAGAACCAGAAATGGCGAGTTGCTTTTCCAGAGCAGCGAGCACCCTGTACTATGTGTCGCTTTATGAACTACTGTTTATATATATATATAAACTTCCTCTAATATTAGAATCTTATCTAGTCGAAAGCTGTTTTTTGATGTCTCAGTTTATTTATTTTCATAATCTTGTTTAATTTGAAAGAAAGACCAGCGGCCTTTTTTGTTATAGAATCAGACTGAAGATGGAAAGATTACTAGGCCTAAAGAGCACTGTGTACTTACTGTCTCTTTATAAACTACCGTCTCGGATTTGCTTATTTTATAGTAAATGATAGATCAGTCTAGTGTGTTAAATCCTTCGAATGAAAGACAGCTATGCGTCCCCTAACACTCAGACACTGGAAAGCAAATGGCTTATTGACAGTTCTCGGGCGCCATTTGTTTCTCTTCGCGACGACACAATGCGCATGATTTTCAGAACGACTTCCTTATCCGGTGGTACGACCGTTTGCAAAATGGTAACAGATGTATTTACCCAATTTGTCATAATCTAAAAATATAAATGATAATATTATTTCATTCAATCCACTGGTAAGAAATACATTGACATTAGGAAAATCTTGAATTTATATGCTAGCAAAATTTCACTGGAGAAGAGACCGTGTTGAAATTGGGGATTGTGGGTATAATTAATATCAACTTCCTGCATACATCACACCGGCCACATCCCACACTGCAAAAAAACAGGTAATTAGTTTAGCAGGTGATATAAAACATTCTCGGTGAATGTAAAGAAACGTAATTGTGTCCACGTTGTTACATTTTGGACCCTGGTTCTCAAACTGCGCCAGAAATGGCATATGCTTGTTTATGATATCGGTTTCGCTAGTCAATGAAGCTATGAACTGATGAAAGCTGAACATACATACAGTACTCTTTTCATAATATCCGGATATTTCAAATTATGATACCCTAATAATATCAGTGATATAATTGTGCTTAAATATGCTATCTTACAAATAAATCTTGATGTTTAAAAGTTAGTAGACTACTCGCTCATTGTGTGTGTATGTGTGTGTTTGGTGAGGAGGGGGGGTGATTACATTTGTCCATTAATATCAGGATCAAATATGAGCGCAGTGCTGACTCGAAAGAGCAAAGCTTATGTGCTACGAGGACATTCTAGGTTGAATTCTTAATGGAAAGTACCAAGACCAAGAAAATATAAAACACCAATAGATATTGCTTAACTGATTTGTGCTTTAAGAAATGGCGTGCTACAGCAAGTGATCAATTGCACATTTATTGTGATATTGATGATTTGTGCTAATTTCAACAAGGTCAAAACATCTTTATGTTTAGTAACAATTAAAAGTAAGTCAAACAATTCAGGAAAGCAAAAATATGTTTTGATTGACATAAGCAACAAGTAAAGTGCAGAATGCACAAGATCCATGCTTTTCACTTCCAGATGCTCCATGTCTTTTATTTCCAAAATAATTCTTTTTGTTATGGATCAATCCCTGGAACCTCTCATCCTAGACATGAATGAACATTGTCTTACGTGTGTTATAGGTGTAGAGCTTAGCTCAGGCCTAAAATTTGCTCCACAATCAAATCAAACCTCAAACCTATGACCCTCCAAACTTTAGACAGATGCTTTACCAATTGAGCTACCTGATCGATAATGATTGACCCAGTCCTGATCTGCTACATTTCCGCTTTCTTTTTTCTACTATATTTTAGGTCTTTGCTGTTTTTCATGTAAGAGCAACGTTAAAATATAAATGAAGAAATTGAAGAGTTTTAGTCGATAAAAAAAGAATCTGCTATTGCTAATTTTGTATCAGTGGGTTCCAGTCAAAATGACTTTGATTGAATATCTTGTTTACTAATGTATTACGTGTTAATTTTCTTTGTAGAGCTCATATGATTTATATCTACAGCCATTTTTTTTTATTCTCTTTCCTATAATTTGTTTCAGTCTTGACAGAATTTTGATAATTTGAAACCCTGCACAATGTCAGCATCCGCAGTGTACCTGTTGGATGTCAAGGGCAAGGTAAGTTCATTGTTACTGCTCTTAAAAAGGTTGTGGCAATCTTTGTGGATTTTCAATGAGGATTTTTAAGGATTTGTAAAATTCTATGAATTTATTATTTTTTCTGGGAAATCCAATTCCATGTAGCATACATTATGATATTTCAATAATTAGATCGGGAATAAGTATATTGCTTGTGAGGCAATAAGGCACTTTGTGACCTAATACCCAGAGTTACTTTTTCTTCAAGTTTGTTTAAGATAATGGTCTTGAGATTTACATTAGAAGTTCTAGAACAACATTTTTTGCTGAACTTTGATGATTATACAATATGCCATTATATCTAATTTAGTTTTTACTGCTGTATAATTTTATGATTTGGTTTGAAATACAAGTATTTTACAATATTTGTACATGTGTTTTGTTTTTGTAAAGTTTCTTCAAAATTAATTTTTCTGTTGAACCTTAGGTGCTGGTATGCCGTAATTACCGCGGGGATATTGACATGTCAGTAATTGACAAGTTCATGCCCCTTGTGTTAGAAGTTGAGGATGATGGGAATGTCTCTCCTATTGTGCAGCACGGCGATGTCACCTTTGTCTACATCAAATACAGTAATTTGTATCTAGTGGCGACTACCAAGAAGAATGCAAATATTGCTCTGGTCTTTTCCTTTCTCCACAAACTTGTACAGGTAAAATGTGTGATATTGTTATGTCACTCCTCATTCAACAGATATTGAAATCAGAAAAATACACTCTAAAATAAGGTGCAGAAGATTTTGTGTTCTTAATTTTATATAGCAGAGATACCTAGTAGTCATCATTTCATTGCTTTCATAGCAATACTTAAATGTATATGTGTTTAAAACGAAAGAAAAATTGAGATAATGTCCATGTGATATTTTGATGTGATATTGTAAAACCTCTCTTGGAAAATGACAGCACAACAAGTTGTTTTACTCAGTAAAAGGACATACAATGATTGAAAGAAGCCAGGTAAATATGTTATCAAGTTGAAACCATAGAAGGGAGGTAATTCAATACAGTATTTGGTAACTAATGCTATTATACTAAATATGTATATTTTACAATTTCAGATTTTCCTTGAATACTTTAAAGAGATGGAGGAGGAGAGTATACGAGACAACTTTGTGTTGATTTATGAATTGTTAGATGAAGTTATGGACTTTGGCTTTCCACAGACCACAGACAGCAAGATATTACAGGAGTAAGTTAGGCCTGTAGGCTGTTGTGTTGCCCTTAGGCATCTGAACAACTCTTATAAAATACTGGTTATATTTTGTGAATAGGTTATGTAAAAATCTATTGCCTCTATGAAAGCAGTTAATATAATATCATAAGAACTGAGACTGAATAGTAATAGAACTGGTAATTATTTTCTGATTTCTCTCTTTTTGAAGGTCAAAATTAAATAGAAAGGTCATATCTTTACCAGTATATTTCCTGGGCTGGAATTTCAACAAAACCAATATTTTATTTCATTGGTGTGCTGTGATTTCATTGGTCTTCATATTTTTGTTATAGGTAATGCAAATGAACAGAATAAAATCAGAAAGGATACTTATGGATTTGCCCTTCTACTTGTGATACAAAAATCTTAGTATAGATTTAGATCTATGTTTCAGATAAAGACCTTGTCCACAGGATCAATGGTTTTAAAATAGATTTTAAATCACTTTCCTTGATAGCTTGTTTGCTACGATTTTTGTGGGAAAGGAAGAAATTGAAAACCAAACTAAATATGGTTTCAATTACTGTAAAATCATGGGGCTAAAATTTTGTGGTCTCCCACAACATCCATCGTGGTTGATAAATCTCCCTCACTCAACCTACAAGTTCTACAATCCAACATTTATCTGTTCATCATTTCATACAACATTTATCTGTTCATCATTTCATACAACATTTATCTGTTCATCATTTCATACAACATTTATCTGTTCATCATTTCATACAACATTTATCTGTTCATCATTTCATACACATGTATAAATTCCTAGATTCAAAGTACTCGCAAATTTAGCAAAAATAAATCCTCCATGAGAATTAAGGATATGATATGACATGATGAACATTCAGAAATTGATATTTCAAAATGATTTTATCAACATATATCTGACATTGTTTATGTTTCTATAGGTATATAACACAAGACAGCCACAAACTTGAGATTGCACCAAGACCGCCTATGGCGGTGACTAATGCTGTATCCTGGCGATCAGACAAGATCAAATACAGGAAAAATGAAGTCTTTCTGGACGTGATTGAGTCTGTGAACCTCCTGGTAGGTGGTACTCCAGTGAGCAGGAGAAAGAAAACCACTTGTGTCACTTAATGAAAAATGTTTCATTTTGCACACTGGCATCCATAATATGTTTGAAGAATTTCAAAATGTAATGTTATATTCTTGGTTTCATGCAATATGGATATAACCAATGTGCCTTTCAAAAGCTGCATTACAAAACAAAATTAGATTCCCTTTCCTTGCATTATGTAATTGATGTTTGAATACTTATCGATATTTACTAAGATTTGATCAATATTTACAGTTATGTGGTAAATGAAACTGACAAGTTTATTTTCATATCAGTAATTTGTTGATAAAGACAAATAATTTGATGAAAAATAACCTTTCTGATTGATTGATATTGTGCTCCTACACTATGACTTCTCATTGATGAAGAAACTTTTTTAAAGCAATGAACATAAGTTTGATCTTATTGATTTGGAAGCTTCAGTTTCTGTCTCACACCAAAAGATTATCTCACAAGGCAAACATTTAGTTATTTATTCTTAAACTATATTGTGACTGTCTTAGTACTTAAAATGTCTTTTAGAGAATGTTTTTACACAATTAACAACAAATTTGAAATGTAAACTCCACTAAATCCCCTCAGGGAGGAGTTGTTCATTTCCTAATGTCGTCAGGAGATAAGTTCATACAGTGTTGTTTATAATTATGATAACAGGTGAGTGCGAACGGGAATGTACTTCGCAGCGAAATAGTGGGAGCCATCAAGATGAGAGTGTACCTGTCTGGTATGCCAGAACTCCGTCTGGGTCTGAATGACAAAGTTCTGTTTGAAAGTACAGGGAGTAAGTATTTTTGAGAAGATTGTTTGCAGTGCCCTTACAGAGTAGGGAGACATGAAATGTTTACTTGTGTATTCATATAGATAAAAAAATTCTTGATCAAGCACACTTACTACCTCTGTTAAATTGAAGTCTTACAAGCCTTAAACGTAATTTCTACACTTTAAGATGGATGTACTTCAACTCCCAAAGCATCAATTCATCATTCCAACTGTTGTATAAACATTATTGTCATACCACAGTGGTGTAACGCTTATATGTTTTTGTTGGCTGACAGAATGACCTTTGACCAATGCGAAATAAGTAGTTCACAGTTATTTTTGTAATAATTTCCCCCCATTTTTATGCTTTGCAGATAAACCAATTTATTTCTGTGTGTAATGAGTTATAATATCTCCATGTAATTCTGAAAATGTCAGTTTTACAATTATAAATTTATTATGTAGTGTGACAAAGTCACATTTGTGTACCTGACCGATGAACTGCCATTGAGAGCTATTTATTTTTAAAGGATATTATTATGATGTTCACACACCCTGTTGTGATTTTTATAAAGGAGGAAAGAGCAAATCCGTAGAACTGGAGGATGTCAAATTTCACCAGTGTGTTCGGCTGCCAAGGTTTGAGAATGACCGGACAATTTCTTTCATTCCTCCAGACGGCGAGTTTGAACTCATGTCTTACCGACTAACTACTCATGTAAGTACTGACCGTTTCAATTGATATTCTGTAAAATCCTTCATTTTCGTGGGAGTTTTATTTTCATTGATTTTGTCTAAGTCAAGTTAATGAGCTACATTTATCCACAAAATTAGGTGTCCACAATTTATAATTTTTTTGGAAGACTATGGAAATTTATCCCCACAAAAAGATTTTATATTGCAGTATTGTATATAGAGTTGCAGTAGTCACATATGACAAAGAAATGAATGTTGAATTCTGTTTATCATGAAGCTTTTATACATGTGCAAACATTCCCGCATTTTATTGGGCTAAGACACAATCTAAATTGGCATTATTCTCACTCTATATCCATTTCTTTGATGACATCACAATGAATATGATGTCATGAATTTATGAAGTCAAAGTGGAACCATTCATCATCTCATAGTTCCCCTATGTCATATAAAAAGTGTAAGTACAAAAAAATGTGTAATGGTTGTTATTAAACTGATTGATGACAGATAAGGTATGCGATATACTTTGCTGTTCAGTCATGTTTTCATGAGGCTCAAATTTCGTGGTTTTCCAAAAAAATGTTTACATTTTGATTTGCACCTGAATTTGTAGATGAATCTTGCTAGCAAAATTTACTAGTATATTAATAACATTGATCTGTCTATCAATTCATGGAAATGTAAACTTGTGGATTTAGAGGACCAACAAAGTCATGGAAAATAACCACCCATCTCCACCCCCCTTGAAAATTACTGACACCACTATTTACCCACACAAAAGAATGTAAAAGAAAAGCTTTGTTAATTAAAGTACAATTTGTTTCAGGTGAAGCCATTGATCTGGGTTGAATCTGTGATAGAAAGGCATGTACATAGTCGTGTTGAATACATGATCAAGGTAATTACTACTACTTAGTACAAACTCAGGGGGATACAATACATATTCCATGTTGTACTTCATCTTTAACATTTCACTTTTGAATCTTTAACCAACTAAGTTTATTGCATAAAGACAAAATCTTCTTCCAGACATTGAGCTGGGAAATTGAAATTCTCTGTCAGAAAAATATGTAGATAATTGATGATTTAATAATATACAAACACAAGCAGCCTTATACTACACAGGGATTTGTCAGAGCTTAGTTATAGATAAGCATTATGACATGTTTTCCAGGCTAAAAGCCAGTTTAAAAGACGGTCCACTGCTAACAATGTGGAGATTATTATACCTGTACCACGGGATGCTGACAGTCCGAAGTTCAAAACCACCGTTGGAAACTGCAAATATGCCCCGGATTTAAATGCAGTGATTTGGACAATTAAGTCATTTCCTGTAAGTTTTTGGTCTGTAATAGAATCATTTATGAAATCCCAAGGGTTCTGTCCTTGATGCACATTCCTTCTCTGCACCATTGTAATAATCTTGAAAAATTCAAAAATCTTTATTTTCCGATAAATACAATTGAATGTATTAATAGTTTATTTAAATTGTTCATGGATACTACAATGAAACAACATTTTTATTTCAGGGAGGAAAAGAATACCTGATGCGAGCTCACTTTGGACTGCCTAGTGTGCAGGCTGAGGAGACCGAAGGGAAACCACCTATCCATGTAAAATTCGAGATTCCATACTTCACTGTGTCAGGCATTCAGGTTGGTGTAATCTGGTGAACATTAAACAGTGTGTTTTTTAAAATTTGATAAAATTTATTCAAAGTTCAACTATAACAAAACTTCAGATCATTTCATGTCACCGGGGTCATTTATAGATTTGTGATAATTTGCAGGGAGCGTTCACTAGTTTCACTAGATAAAAGTTATCATCTACTTCTCATTTAAAGGTGAGGTATTTGAAGATTATTGAAAAGAGCGGATACCAGGCGCTGCCATGGGTGCGATACATCACACAGAATGGAGACTATCAGCTGAGAACTCAGTGAGGAGTGATTTACAACGGAAATGAACAGAATAGTTTTACATAGCATATAACAAGTGCTAATTTTACTGCAGATGTGCAACACGGTTGTTGAAATACTGCCATCATAACTATCAGAGTTCAATCTTCCTGACAGATTTCTTTTAACATCATCATTATTAAGTCTTTATTCGTTTATTGTTTGGTCAAAACATCAATGTGACTTTTTTTTGTATTTTTTTCCAAGTATTTTTTATGTAGTTTATAACACCAAAGTTTGTTGAAAAGTTTGAACATGAGAGAGCTGGCCAAAGAATATTTGATCTGCACAATATTCTAATGTTAAGTGGAAAGTTCAAGCCTAAGAGCTGGTAAGTGATTTATTTGTTCTACCCATTACTGAAGGAAGAAAAATTCCAACAAATTTCTTTATCTGTTGGGGACACTTTGTGTCTAAAATTTATCTGTAATGGTGTTTATGTTTTAGAATCAGCAGACCATGTTAGAATCAGCAGACAGTGCATAAATTAATTTCATTTTATGTAATTCATCATATTTGAAACATTCTTAAGTCATTCCAGTTGTATGGCAGTAAACAATGAATGGTATCTGGTGTCCGAGAATGCAAGACTAGAGAATATCGTGGTTGCTGCATTGATGGTGTTGATTTCTGAAAAATTAACAGAAATATCATCAAAAGTTTCATTTTCATATCCCAAACAGCTTCTTACTTTAGTAGAAAAATGAAAACACAGAAAGTTGTTTTTGATGATCACTGTGTGTAGAATAGAAAAATAATAACTTCAGAATTGAAAAATGAGAAGATATTTGTCAGATGAGGTAGATAAATACAATCTTCAAAATTTAATTGTGTACAGAGGTGGAATGAAGTTTGAGGTAAATTGAATTAAAAGAGGAGAAAGCTGTAATAATCATGCTTTGTCTCTGAAGTAGTCCAGTAAAATATCTGAGACATAAAATATTGAATGAACCTTATTCCCTTCCAAATATCTGTCAGATTTTGAATCGTTATTTTAGATCTTTACAGTCAACATTCAATACATAATTGCAATATCAAAGTAATCGACAGGTACTTCTATTGACTAGTCATTGTTTACAGAAGAAATGTCCCAAAGTTTCTGTCCATTTTACTCATGCTGATTTAGGCAAAAGATGGAAAAACAAAATCATATTTCCAGAAATCTACAAGGTTGAATAAGATTTATAAAAATGTGATAATAGTCATTATTTGTCAAATGCTGCATTTTTTGTATTGCTTGTAAGCATCATTTCTCTTACATTGATGTAATACTTTCATAGTTGAATGAGAAAAGATATGTTCTGTTTAAACAATAGATTATTGCAAATTATTTGAAAGGTTCTGACCCAATAAAAGGAGTACAAATCTATTACTATCTTTGTATTGATGGGGAAATAAGAAAATGTCTTTTTTAGGATTGTTATGTAAATTATTTGGGAAAGAAATGTGTACCATAAGAGAAAATATTGAAAAGCCCAGTGCTACCATTGTTCAATGTGAAATGTTCCTTTCCAAACAGGCATTTTGGAGATTTAATTCTTCGTCTACAAAAGGGAGTAAAACAGAACAAATTGCATTTGAAATTTGAAATAATGTGAAAGCTAATTAATGTATTTATATATATATATATTCAGATGTATGGTCTTGTCTATAATTAGAATGTCGTTTCTATGTAATTGTCTATAAAAAGAATGTTGTTGCTATGGCATTGGATAATGATGTATATTTACTTTGCTTTATTGTGGTTTGCACATGGTGCATTCTCTCCAATGTTGGTAGCAGTCCTGGTGTATACAAAATAAAGAATTTACTCTCCTTGTTTGTTACTGATTATATCTCAACGTCATCAGATTGTGAACCACCCTATGCCAATGGTCCCTCTTTCGTTGTCCATCCCATAACAATTATGTTTATCGCAATCTCTTGAGACCTTTCTCAAATTTCACATGTAAGTTACACCTGGGCCCTAGTTGTGCCCGTTAGATTTTGGCATTGATAAAAAAAGACAATAAATAGCTGACAGGAAGGCATCTTGGATTTTGACAATATAAAATTGTTATCATTATATCTTGAGAAATACAGGATGGATATTTCTCAAATTTCATACATTGGTTCCTCATTGTACCTAGTTGTACATATTTGGTTTTGGGATTAGTCTGAAAAAATGGAGTGACCAACATGCAACCATCTAAGATTTTGATAGAAGTTTGTTATTGTTATTTCTGTAATAGTAAATTTTGTATGTAGCTTCCCCTTGGTCCCTTGTGTCTGTGTGATATTGGGATTGATCTAAAACATAACTAATGGCTGACAGGCTACCATCTTGGATTTGACCGATTATTATCGCAATTTTGCAAGAGCAATATTCAAACTTCATAGAGTTAAGATTTTTAAAGAAAAAAGATCAGATGTGCGCCGACACTTCTGAGAAATGTTCTTGTCTCATAAAACTTGCAATTGCTTTCCCATCATTGACTGCAAAAACTTCCTCTTATTTTTTAACCTCTTTCAAACTTGTTAGCATAAAATTGTGTTTTCATGAAGTGTCTGACTTTTTCTGAAGAAAATCACCCCTCTCAGTTTTCAGCTTATTTCTTTTAAACATGTCATGCTTTATCATTATGATAATGTTTCATTCACGGGATTCAACAATATTTGGAAGAGGCCTATTGTTTTTTCTGCATTTTAATGTGTAATTCAATCTCTCAAATACTGGTAGACTGATCCTGCATAATACAGTACATCAAATATGGAAGTAACCCAGCCCCGCCCAACAACCAAATATGTCTGGAGCCAAATCATAGGTAATTCTGATACAACAACCAAATACGTCTGGAGCCAAATCATACATACTTCTGACACAACAACCAAATATGTCTGGAGCCTAATCATAGGTACTTCTGACACAACAACCAAATATGTCTGGAGCCAAATCATACATACTTCTGATACAACAACCAAGTATGTCTGGAGCCAAATCATAGGTACTTCTGACACAACAACCAAATATGTCTGGAGCCAAATCATAGGTACTTCTGACAACAACCAAGTATGTCTGGAGCCAAATCATAGGTACTTCTGACAACAACCAAGTATGTCTGGAGCCAAATCATAGGTACTTCTGATGCTTGGTTTATCATTTTCTGTTGATGTACCCACAAAAAGCTGTTCTACAGTTAATTATATGGGAGATGTTTATGAACAATACCCAGTCAAAAGCTGTAGTTTAAAGTGTACACCTGTACCATCTTCACATTTGTCCATCCTCAGGTTACAGATTTTGCACAAGCTTGATAATGTTGTTGCATTCAAGTTTCAGAGGAAGTAGACAGTGTATGACAATTATATAGTAATTTTAAGAACTTGTATCTGCACTGAAAATTGTTTGAAATTGTGTGATAGTGTTAATTAACCCCCTGCAGAATGCTTTACAGGTGGTTATTAATTAGGGCTCTGTCCGTCCGCCCGTCCGTCCGAGGGCTTTTCCGGTCTACTTCAAAACCGTTCAACTCAATTCCACAAAACTTGCTGTATATATTAAGTTAGTGCCCTAGTTGTGCCTTTTCTTCTTATGGACATTTTATTTATTTTTTTTTTCTGTAGCCATCAAATTTTTTGTGACTTTCTTACTCCAGAGCTTATAGAGTGTTGCATAGATTTGTTCATGGACAATACCAAGCAGTATTTAAATATCAACAGTCAAACACACAGGATCTACATCAAGATATAAACTATTATTATAAGGTTGATATATAAGATATATATATATATAATGTTGAAGTCGAGGAGATGTAAGGAAATTTAATTGATAATCAACAAAAGAAGATGTTACATTTTGCACTAGCGCTTTACCTGTATTAGATCTTCAGGTGATAGTAGCGGTATATCATTGAGTGACGTCACAAATTGTTATACCAGTATATATATTAAGGTTTTACACCAACGGCTAGGTGTGTGTGGGATAATGTCAAGCTTTGTGGTCCCTATATGTACATCATATTAGTGTTTTACACCAACAGCTAGGTGTGGGGGATAATGCCACGCTTTGTGGCTCCTATATATACATCATATTAGGGTTTTACACCAACAGCTGGGTGTGGGGGATAATGCCACGCTTTGTGGCCCCTATATATACATCATATTAGTGTTTTACACTCCTAACTTTCAACTTGCCACATGCAAATCAATACAACATACTTTTTATTTTTCTATTTCATTCTGGATACAAAATGTATTGTCATATTATGCTGATAGTGTCAGTAACATTCCCTGTCTGAAGTCTGAGCCACAATATATGATTCGTCTCCAATGTGACACGACATTATCAGTCTACTGAAACATTTAGGATTCCACTTCCAGTAAATTCTGACCAATCGATCTGAAATGTTGACCTACTTAATTCATTTTGATTACTTTCCTACATATTTATATATATATATATATATATATATATATATATATATACCTGTATACATCTGTTTAGAGAGTGGTAAATATCTGTAAATATGTCGGCACAAGGATACTGTCCATTTTATTATTATTAATTTTATTATATAATGAAAATTTGTCATTTGAAAAAAAAACATGCTTACATGATCTCAATACAAACAGTAATTGTGTGAAACTATGACTAATCTGTTAAAATGTTAATTCACAAGAGTTTTGTATTGTCAAATTTTAATTATTGTCCCCTTGTTTGGCATTTCAGCGTCTCGGCAACCAGGAAAATGGAAAAGGTGCAAGAAAGGGGCTTGTGCTTTGTTTTTAATGATGATACCTCTGACCTCAAAAATACTGCTAACAGATGCTAATACTTCTTTCCTGCATATTAATAGGATGAAGGTGATGGCTTGTGAAGTTTTTAAAACTTTTAACAAAATTTCTCCTAACTACATTTGTAGTCTGATATCTAGACAAGAAACTTTGTATGCTTTCAGAGCAGAGGGTAAGGCACACATCCCAAGGGTAAACACCACCAGGTATGGACAGAATTCCTTCAGGTACGAGGCGTCCCGCATATGGAACAGTCTCCCGAAAGATCTGCGTCAGGTAGAGAATTACAAAGAATTCAGGAGACTGCTCCGTATGTGGGATGGCCCGGACTGTAGGTGTTCTATGTGTGCTCATATGTGAGTTTCCTCCCTTTGTTCAGTGGTGTTGTTATCTATGTGCTTTTATCTTCTATTTTCATTTTCGTGTCTTATTCTTATGCTTATTTTGTTTGTCTTCTTGCTTTGGTTTATAGACTGTTGTCTTATTTACTTACTATTTATAATCTTGACATTGACAAAATGTTCTCTTTTAATTTGCACTATATTAGTATCATAGTCTGTCAATTTTTATTTTTTGCTATATTAACATATATGTATGTGTTTTACTTCTTTTGCATCAAGAAATAACTGTGTATATCAGATATGCAGGTGTTCGATCTTAGCCTATTTAGTCTTATCTGATTACTTAATTTCTGTGATATATAAAATGTGATAACTACTTTTTGTTTATAATCTGTGTATAAATTGCTAATGACTGTGATACATATCCTCTGCTGCTTGTTGCTAATATTATATTGCATGTTATTTTGTTTCGTATTATGTTATGTCGAAGTACAAGCTCACCAGAGCTCACCAGAGCTTATGTTTACTGTCTGTAATATTCGACGTGAAATAAAGTTTCTTTTATCTTGTATGTTGTATGACTAGTAGGAACCAAAGAAAATGTCCATAATCTTCATCAACTTGCATCTCTCCAAACCGTTTTTTGATTTTGTTAGTTGCTATCAAGAAATGAAAAACTCGCCATCGGGAAAATGAAAATCACGTGTACCATATAACGTTGTGGAATGCTGTTGTTTTCACTGTAAGAACAGATCGAGGTAAGTGGCAGAATGTAGAAGAATCTGTCCTGTTCCGGATTTCCAATTCTAGTGGAAACAAATTCGAAATCATTTTTATTTAAAAAAAAAAACCCACACAATTTGTTAGCAATTGGTAGGCTACAAAATATACAAAGTAGAAAGCATTTTTTATTAAATTTATATATAACTGAATATGTATAACGGATAAGTTGCGGTAATATATCGCGTGGTGCGACTGCTTTCCATAACCGTAGGTCAAGAACATGCGTCGTCTACACGTGTAAAAATATTAACATTATACGTATAAACATTTCTGGATTATAAGAATGACGTCATTCTCCAAGGATAATTCAACGTTCAGCATTGCTAATGCAACCAGGGACATATTAACACCGTCAGTGAAAGCGTGGCTAGCTTCCTGTGTCACAATCTCACTTTTCAAAAAATTCAAGTTTCGCTAAAAAACGAAGATTTTAAATTGCCGTAAAAGACTTAAAAATGACCTGATTGTGTCAAAAAATAGCGTAACTATATGTACACTAAAGATCTATTTGTTTATAATTTTCCGTTGCATGTGACCGCTGTTGATTCTGCAATAAGTTGTCTAGGCTTTGTAAGGCTACAACGGAATTTACCATCACCAATAGCTTGTTAGCTTATAGCGTCGGTCACTTTCAGTTTTTCATATTCTGGTGTTAAAAATAATCAACCTTCATATTTAAATCATCACCATCATCAACAACAATAACAACAACTTTTTAACGCAAATGAATGTAAAAAAAAAACAAACAAAAACTTAACTGGAGTAAACATGCCTTTTAGTAAAAACCTTTTCCTACCAAACCTACATGATTTTACCCGAGAAAGAAAAGTTAGGCTTAATAATAAGAATGATTCAAATGGATGTTCTTGGACATCACGAGACATCGATGTGTTGACGCGTTTGATTGACATCAGTCAAGGTCGCTCCGAGCATGTGCATTTCCCCGTGATTTTCGCCCGTCGTTTCGTTTACATCACAATCTCAACAGAGGGCAAGCCACATGGGAGAATCTGTAAGCCCTGTGTAGTATTTCATAGATTATAAGATGATGAAGCCAAGTGATCAGTGTTTAATGTCAAAACTCGCAGACGACCGGGCATTGAAATCAATTGATTACAACATTGTTCATAATATTGAACGAACAGACGAACATCACAGCCGACGTGTCAACAGCTTTCACAGGTAGATTGTTCTTCTTTTGATTGTCCGTTTAAAAATACACATAAGTCTGCGATCGTTGACCTTTAGTAAGCGGATTTTTCTCTCTCCAATTTTACAATTATTTCAAAGCAGATATGCGATACTATGTACCGCAGAACTGGTTAAAAAAATAAAAAGTGTAATCAATTCATTAGAATAGACACAATTAACCGGTTTAACTTGTCATAATTGAGAATTCACCTTAAAATATATATATCAAACCCTACCAGATTAGATCTCTTCACGTACGGTTCAGAGAATCAGAAATTAAACAAAACAAACAAAAAATGCAAATAAATAAAAAAGTAAAAAAAAGATAAAAAGGATATATGCCGACCATTAACTACTTTCTTAAACTTTTATAATTCTATTCATGCCTCTCGTTACTGCATCATTTGTAGGAATTCAGTCTCGCACCAGAACAAAATGCTTAGCCTACCTTCGACCATGTGCGGTTCAAAGGTCAAATAAGTGTCAGCATTAGCAAATAAGACATTTTCGAAATCCAAGGTTTTCCAACCTCCATTTACACCTATTCTTTATAACCATGGGCTTTGTGATGATAAAACTACTGGGACAACTTGTGGTAGTCAGAAATTCTGGAATCTCTTACAGATTTATTGCACATCTGTGGTCTCTTTAATAAAGATAGAAGGAAGCCTATGGTAATATATGTAAAAGTCAAATGACTGCCTTTAATTTGGATTTGGTCATGATGTAACCCATAGGTATTCAAAGATGGCATAACCCTTTGAATTTGGAGATACTAGTTAAACATATATTTTGTGAACCGTTTCTTAATGGTTCTGACCCATTTTATGCATAAGTTGATCAGTTGAAGGTACTGTGCTGGAAGATAAGTTAGATATTTACAGAATGTAGCCAAAATAGATTCAAGTTTATTAGGTAGAATGGATACTGTCCTTTGCTTTTGGTATTTTAGTTGGATCGTGTTTCATGAAATGATATTGCTTGATGGTTTCCATGTTTTTTACCAATATAATATTGAACATTGGTAAAGGTAATTCAATTTGATATTATCATCTTATTGTTCAAACCTAGGCTTTATTGTTTTAAAGGAGAAGTTGGATGAAGTTTTCTGATCCCAGTAATCTTGAGGACAAGTGAAAGTATACATTCTAAAAAGATAATGTGAAATTTTGATGTCTCGTTATAGAAGAAATGTGAAATGATCTCAGTCATAACAATACTTTTTGTTTCCTTATAGCTTACACTTTTCATTTTAAATTGAAATTAAATTGTTTTCAGAATAACTTGGGGAAAAAAAAAAGAAAAAACTTTTCACCATGGTTTTGTTCTTTTCCATTTGTTTTAGATCAAATGAAAGCCAAAAAGAAAACAACTTTGAACCATTTTCTAAACGGTGCAAAACAGAAGCAAATATTGAGCTGAAAACAGAAACAGGTGATATAGGAGCTGTAAAATCATTATCACAGAAAGACACATGTGCTAGTATGACAACGGAAACATCAACAGTGACAACAACAATACCAGTGATAAGAGAGGCACATGTCAACAAAAGAAAAAATCGATATCCAACCAGAAGTGCTGCTAGACAGGACCCAAACTTTCGGGGTGTGACATTCCTGCTACACACACAGCTACAGGGCTGTGAAAGTCAGCTAGTCATATCAGCCTATTTTAGGTAAGTATTTCTAACCAGCTTACTTTGGTTGATACATTACCACACTCCTGTGCACTCTTTGATTTTCTGTGATACTTCTTGTAGTACATCTAGTAACCTAGAAAATCATATTCTTAAGCACCATCAATCTAAGTAATAAAAAAGCGATATTTTTCTGATAGTACATAAATCCTCAATCAGTGATTTTTGGTATTCTGATTTTGGAGACCAGAACTCATGCTTTTCCTGTGGGACTCGCTAAAATTCTTAGAGCCTACTAAATCTCTTAGTATTAGAATTCATCAAAATTTTGGAATTGGTGTTAAGGACTAGCCTTTCAAAAAATCTTACAAAATAACTGCCCTATAAGCCTAAAGGTCCGAACCCCAAAAATCTAATAGTTTTGAGACTCATCAATGAAAATGAAACATACCCCACAAAAATTTCTTGTCATTCATAAGTCCTGCACTCTCTTCATCTAGGTCAGATATTGTACCATTGGTGTTATTGTTACAGGACAGAAGCATTAGGATATATCTACTGAATTGCAATAGAGAAGAGCTTACTCATGATTTATGGCAGAAGTTTTTACTTTACAGCAACATAAATGTGAAGACAGCTGGTTCCCACAGCCAGGTGAGAAATCGTCATAGCAGCTGTGGCTCCGTGACCAGCTATCACACTGACTGCTGGAGTGGATCTGATGAGGATAGCCAGCTAGCCTATCATAAGAATCCGTACATCTCAGGTAGACACAGCTTGTACCTTGACAGTGGTGAATTAAGGACTTTGAAAAGCCATACCCTGCCCCCGCTAAATTTTGACATAAATATCATTCTGTAAAACACATGCATCTTGCCCAGCGAGTTTGATGTTTGATCTTGACATCCTTTCTATAGCAAAATTTTAACTTTTTTTAAGATTGCCAAAACAACCTTGACCTGGACTAGTAACATTGTAACTTGATAATTCTCCAAAGTGCTGATATGACTGTGATATTCTGAGGAATAAGATATGATACTGATCCTAATCATGACCTTGACCTTCATGAGTAAAACATTCTCACATCATGAAGAAAAAAAAATTTAACCGATTTCATGTGTATTTGATATTTGATATAATGTTTTAAGCATGGGGTCATGTAGAATTTGGGAAATACTTCCGATGGTGGAAAATTTTTGCCTATTTTGAACAAGGGTCTTCAGAGACAGGTTATGCTCCCCGATTGGGATAAAATTTGAGTATGAAAAATAACAAAGGGTAATAAGAGAGTTTTTGTGCACTGTCCTCCTACTCGTCGAAAGCTTTCTACCTAGGAAGTTTCATGTTGATATCTCTTATGATTTTAGTGTAATGCTCCAGACTAAATTTAAGTATGAAAAATAACAAAAGGGCAATAACTCCTAAATTATGCAAAAGGTGGTGATGATGCTGCACATCTCCTTGTTGAGTTCTATCTACACATGAAGTTTCATATTGTTACCTCTGACAGTTTTTGTGTTATGTTCCACAAAAAATTATGATGAACGGACAGAAGGAGGAATGGACAAAGTGTTGACTATATGCTCTCCTTTTGGGCATAAAAATAAAGAAATTTTGGACAGTCCGTTTTGGTCAGAATTTAAAAGTGGAATAGGGTGGAAATATATGACATAAGAAAGATTACATGAACAAAATATGGCAATGTTGAAGAAAATTGATTTCTATTATTTTGCATGATGGCACAATTTGTAGACATTTCAAGTAAAAATATGCTAATTAGCTCTGTTTCAGGGAAATGTTTTTCATTTTGGAGAAATTTCTCCATGTTTTCAGCTCATTTTCTTGAAAACATTTATTCTCTTCCTTTTTTCTGTTATGAACTTGTTTTATCAATTTTATTTTTCAGTGAAGACGTGTGCATCATGTGCAACTCGGAGAACTCCTCTTTGGAGAGATGCTGAAGATGGTACACCACTGTGTAACGCATGTGGCATCAGGTATATTGTATGGGCACCTTTTTAAAGACTACTTGACAAAGGACCTCTTTCACGAACAATAGAATTTTGCCCACGACCCGATTTAATCCAAACCATGTGGCATTTATAGCACTCCAATACATTCCCCTAAAATAGCACTGAAAAAATTCAAAAGGCCCATAGGGCCTGAATTATTATAGAATTTGTGACATTTACTTAGGGTATAAGGTAAGGTTCAGAAATGGCACCATAACAAGGCAAGGGTTCATCGTAAGGCTTCTTATAACCACTTATTTTGTTCATTGGAATCTATTTGTCATTTGAAGCAAACATTATTTGTCAAATTTGGCATAAGAAAAAAGCTATGATCAATTAAATAAAGAAAAATGTGATATTTTATTGATTTTTAGAACAAAGTAATTTGGCCCCTTATATTTGCTGTTCTTGGCCAAAAAATTGAAAAAAATTGTGACCGATAAGTTTGTCAATTAGCAGCTTAATTGCGTGCAGTCAGAATCTTGAAAAGTGATGTCATGTGATTGTCACGATTTTTTTCAATGTTTTGGCCAAGAACAGCAAATATAAGGGGCCAAATTATTAGGTCATCTGACCCGAAGGGTCCGATGACCTATAGTCATCATGCTTCGTCCGTCGTCGTCCGCCGTGCGCCGTCCGCCGTCCGCCGTGCGCCGTGCGTAAACTTTTCATTCAAACGACTTCTTCTCAAATACTAGAAGGTCTAGGGGGCTAATACTTGGCACAGAGGATACTGGCATGGAGCTCTACCAAGTTTGTTCAAATGAATGACCTTGACCCACTTTAAAGGTCACAGGGGTCAAATATGTTAAAATCTTTAAACAACTTCTTCTCATTAACCAAAAGGCTCAGAGTGTAGATATTGGGCCTGTGGCATGCTGGGATGAAGCGCTATCAAGTTTGTTTAAATGAATGACCTTGAACAACTTTCAAGGTCACAGGGGTCAAATATGTCAAAATCTTTAAATAACTTCTTCTCAAATACTAGAAGGCCTAGGGGGCTAATACTTGGCCCATAGCATGCTGGCATTACAAAGTTTGTTCAAATGAATGACCTTGGCCCACTTTCAAGGTCACAGGGGTCAAATATGTTAAAATATACAAAGGACTTCATCTCAATAAGCAAAAGTCTATGAGTGCCGATATTGGGTCTGTAGCATGCTGGGAGGAAAGGCTACCAAGTTTATTTAAATGAATGACCTTGAACAACTTTCAAGGTCGCAGGGGTCAAATATGTCAAAATCTTTAAATAACTTCTTCTCAAATACTAGAAGGCCTAGGGGGCTAATACTTGGCCCATAGCATGCTGGCATGGAGCCCTACAAAGTTTGTTCAAATGAATGACCTTGGCCCACTTTCAAGGTCACAGGGGTCAAATATGTTAAAATATACAAAGGACTTCATCTCAATAAGCAAAAGTCTATGAGTGCCGATATTGGGTCTGTAGCATGCTGGGAGGAAAGGCTACCAAGTTTATTCAAATGAATACAACCCACTTTCAAGGTCACAGGGGTCAAATATGTTAAAATATACAAACGACTTCTCAACAAGCAAAAGTCCATGAGTGCTGATATTGGGCCTGTAAGATGCTTGGAGGAGAGGCTACCAAGTTTGTTCAAATGAATGACCTCAACCCACTTTCTAGGTTTGGCTTGCTTTTTGTCAGATGACCGTTAAGGCCCATGGGCCTCTTGTATTAAAAGCGCTTGGGTGCACGGAAACCAGAAGAGTTTGAAATAATGTTTGTTAAAATGACAAATAGATTCCAATGAACAAAATAAGTGGTTATAAGAATCCTTGCGATGAACCCTTGCCTTGTTATGGAGCCATTTCTGAACCTTACCTTATATCCTAAGTAAATGTCACAAATTCTATAATAATTCAGGCCCCATGGGCCATTTGAAATTTTTTTAGTGCTATTTCAGGGGAGTGTATTGGAGTGCTATAAATGCCACATGGTATGAATTAAATCGGATCGTGGGCAAAATTCCATTGTTCATGAAAGAGGTCCTTTGATGGGAGAATTAAATAACATAGCTTTGCCCCTTCACGACTGTAGGTATTTTTTTATTTTCAGCATTCTTTTGCATGGAGATGTTCTCTCAAATATTTCAGTTGATTGTTTTGAAAGTTGTAAGGCTTTGTAAGGATGATTTTGAATGGTGAAACAAAGTTAATGCAACATAGGTGTCTGTCCCTCCATTTTTCTCTTGTTTGGATAACTAAAATTTTAATTCGGCAATAAGACCATGCCAGGTAAAAATATGCCTGTTTGTATAGATGGAATTTCCAAAAATTCAATTGTTCTGTAAGAAACTCGCTTATTGTCTTGGAGTCAAAGGTAATGTGTTGGACACCTTAGTGAAGGGTAATTTCTCCAACGAGAATTTGTTTTGTCTTGTTATTGAAGGACAGTTGTTTTATTGTTTTCTTTACCTTTTAAAAATTAAGACATGACAGTTTGTTATTTTGTCAGTCTGTCCATTCAAACTTTTCAACTGGTTTTGTTCAAACTTGGTTGGATTTATTTTAACAAGAAGAAATTAACTTGTGCTTTCTCATTGGCATTTTGATAGAAAATTCATGTTTCATTTCCATATTTGTGTTTATTTTAATACAACAATATATTTCTCTTTGTATCAGACAGGCATACATATTTTTCTGCCTACAATACTTTAGTTCACTAGTCTTGATATATTATTGTCCTTTTACAGGTTTAAGAAATACAAGGTACGTTGTAGTCAGTGCTGGCACATACCCAAAAAGGACATCAAGACGTTTCCTAACTGTCCGAACTGTGGGGCACTTCTACGTGTGTCAGTCTGCAGGCGGAGCTGGTGACATGTACCCATAGTTACACATGTAGAAAAGGAAGGCACAGGTAAAATGTGGTTGTGTAAGTGGTATTTTACGTCATAAAATATTTTATTAAAATATTACTGAAAGGATACACATATAAAAGGCCAACAATATCTAAAATGTTAGAACTTTTAACAGTAGACATATAGAGAATTCCCCTGTTACACACATTCTGTACTCTGTCAGTTTTGGCAATATCAAAACATATATTCTTTTCTTCACATATCATTGTTTCGAAAATTTACTGGTTAACGGTGCCTTTAATATTTCATCTAAAAATCACCATGTCATGAAAATATCAACTACAAAGCACATGATTTACTATTGTCTTGTTCCAGTGAATTTAACTTATGTAAGAACTGAATTTCAAATCCAGTCAAAAAGCAGTGGGTTCCAACAAGGTAGTAGATTTCATAATCGTATTTGGGACTATGGCCCCCATGTTTTGTCTAATTCGGCTTACGGTTGTTATTGGTTTTTAAATGGGAATGACACTTAACGTCCCACATGGTGTCCAAGGTTAATGACAACAATTTTTTATTTCTGTAATCAGTTACCATGAAACCCGTTAATGTACACAGTGTTTGTTTAGAGTTAAGGTAAAAATGGGTCAAATAAGACAGATTTTTAGTGTTGTTGAAGAAAATACTAGCTCATATTGCCACAAAATATCTTCATACTAGCTTCCACTTACACTTATACAGAAATATTGGTGCCTTATGTCATGTTAGGTGTATGAAAGCTGTCTACAGGAAATGACACTATTTTCTCAAAGGCAAGATTGAAGATATTTCTATATTTTTTGGCACAGATATGTGACCATTCTTCAATCATATTTAGATGCTGTATAGTAATGATCTAATTGTCATACTAAGTTTGTTCATGCCTTAAACTTATTTATACATGTGTATAATAGGGAGATAGATATGTAGACATTTCGAAGTTAAGAGAAATTTTATTAAAGTTTATTAAATTATTTGCTCACAGTATATGTAGAACCAATAAGTTTTGGTACAGGGTACTGTGTACAATGTTGATGATATTTTTTTAATGTCTATAGAATGATGTTAAAAACTTCCTGTAACGAAGACTTATAAAATCTTTTTTTAAAATAGCTTTGTGTTTGATAGTGATCAATGAAGACCAGATTGGGCTGTGCCAAGGTCAAAGGTTAATTAGAGATGATTGATTAATGATAAACACAGTCTGTAATACTATTTTCCATTTGAATATCTATTTTTTAAGGAATATTTTTACTTTTTGAATAAAACATCTTCAGGATCAAAGAAACTTGTTGTAAGGTCAAGTAATAAAAATTTGTCACAAATCTTGCTGAAATAAAGGGCCATCAATATTCCAATTAATAACCCTGACCCTCTCTGCAGTGAAATAGATGAAAAGATTAAAAACAACTACTTCTTATGGAAGATGAGGCTTGGAGTTATGAATTAGTGGCTTGCTATCATAGACAATTTATTGCCTTGACCCTAACTTGACATGAGTAAAATGGTTTATGATAGATTTATATAAGATTGAACTTCTTTAAGGTGATAGCTATTCAAGAAATGGTGGATGATACAGGTCTCATGGGCCTTCTGTTTACAGTTATGTGTATCTGTTCATATATATACAATGTATCTGTTTGAAGTTCTGTCTCAGATTGTTACTAACTGTCAAAGGTCATGATAATGAGGAAAGATTATTTAAAATTGACAACTTATTTATTCCGTGTGTCAATTCTTAAACACAAAAGTAACAAAATTTCTAGAGAATGAAATTAACATGTATATGAAAACATTAATTGTGAAGGTATTGTTGTTTTGTTACTAATTGTATGTAGAGGAGTTAATTTACTAATTTGCATCCCCAATACTCCAGGGCTAACGGTCACTATTGCTCTCTGCACCCCAGGCAAAATTGAAGGTTCCATGTGCAATATCTTGTGGACAAGACAAAAAGGCTAGTTTGATAATTTGATGTACATAAAAAAAATCTCAAGTTGGCATAATGGTACATTGTAATGACTTTGAAGAGGGGTGTAGCTCCTTTGTAATCTTCAATAGAAGCGCATCAGCCTGTGATTAGTCAGTTTCACCTGGAACCAATTAAATGTTCCCTTGTGCCTTCAATTTGGCCATGACATGTTCCAGGGATGTAGAGCAAAAAAGTGACCATAATCCCTTGAGTATCGAGAATGACTATTTTGATGCATTCCATTTAAATTGTTATATTTTGTTATATTTATGTGCTTAATTTATGATGATATTTGTTTCAAAATGTTGATGTTTTGGTCTTTTTCATAAAACTTTATATAAGATATGGAAAAGATGCACAGTCTGTTAATGTTTTATTTTTCATTGTCATATTATTCAGTTTTCACAAAAATGCATGAAAATCGTTTATCACATCATAGCATTTTCATTTTATATGAAGTCAACAGGATATGATTTCTCTTTTGCAGAAAAAGACAGGTTAACTTACAAATCCAAGGGGTTTTCATGTTTTTTCTTGCTTAACATTAATGATTTCATTCATCATTTTGTATTCACATCTTAAACAATGGCTGTTTTTTCAACTTTTCCACAAGATTGACTGTTTTTTGGGGTTTTATTTATATCAAAAAAAGAAGTCTTGTCAAGGGACATAACTCTAATGTAAATTAGAATTTAATGTAGGGAATGTACAAATGTAATGTTAAGGAATGCATGGCCAATATATTTGATGAGCCTAAAACTAAGTGCAATCAGTGCCCCTCCCATAGAAAGACTTCCTATCTCCTAATTCTGATCAACAATAGTGTTTATTTTTTGCAATTATAATGATAAGTTTATTGTTTAATATGCAAACAGGAAAAAGTAGTTTAGGCTGAAAAAAGACTTATACTGTGGAATTCTGATTTTTATGTTGTTTTTTTGTTTTTTTTGTTTTGTTTTTTTAATTCTTTTTTCTTACATTCAAATATTGAAAAAGAATTAAGAAAAATTATCTACATGATTGTAAAATAGAATGCATCTTTTTTTTTTTACTTAAAAGTGCTATTATACTTCAGAATTTATATACTTTTTTTACTCCAAATAATAATTTGGAGAAAATTAGCTGGTATCTGAGAGGGCAAAGAAAATAAAATCAAACATATTGTTATGTCATATTTATTACTAGACATTTGAAACAAAGACCTCATAATAGATAAATATATTATACAAGATGTTCTCAATAGTCTACATCCTTATAGAAGTCTATATATATACTTTTTTACAGAAATGTTTGAGTTAAAATAAGTGTTAATTTTACAGTTATTGAGGTCATTGATATGTGTATCTATAACAAGGTGTATCTCGTTAAGGTACTGAAGATAATACCAAGTTGGATTACACTTCTTTGTGTGTCATATTTTCCAATCTTAAAAAAAAATATCATTTTTTTATGTTTTGAATTTATTACTTGTTTTTATTATTATTTTTGAATTGACAATTTTTTTCCTTCAGGTAAAGGAAAAGTTGTTTTTGAATCATAATGTTGTTCTTGTACTGATATTGATGTGTTACCATGTTTTATTAGCTAAAATAGTCTGTTGTTGTGTGTAATGTTTCTGTTTTATATTGATATCAGTTTAAACTGTCGTATTTTGGGATTTTTTTTAAAGAAGACCTCTGCATCATTACCATATTGTCAGTTAATTACAACCATCGTCAGTCATATCTACATATATACAGCATGCTCATATTCAGGGTTGAAGGAAATTCACAATTGACATGAAGGACCAAAATAATAACTTAAATAAATAAATGAATGACAATAAAAATACAACAGACAAATGTTTTGAAGCATACAGAGGTAGTTCAACTTGGTACTTTTTATTGATTTGCCACAGAAATATATTATACTCACCCATACAAAGGCCACACATTTCATTTAACTAGTGAGAGTTCATTGATTTTTCCATAATTAAATCATTGAAAATAAATCTATGATTATCGTCTTATCGTTTTTGTGTTTCAGGGAATTATTCTGAATTCTGATTATATGTTGTCATTTTCTAACAAAATCGTTTGAATTATCTCCCTTAGGTCTTTAACATTGAAATGTTCAAGGAAAAAGGACATTACTATCCCTTATATCTATATCAGTATAATTTTTATTAGATTTTTCTAAATTTCAATTGTTTGGAAGATACTCTAAAAACAAAAACTGAATACCAGTAATATTTTTGATAGTTCTTTACACTTTTGCTGTTGAAATGATACAGAGCAGTGATGAAAGGCCTATATTTTACTTGGTATCTTAAAATTATAATGTGCTGGCCACTGATAAAACACTAGCATGATGTGCACATATAAATGAGAAATTGCTGCCAAGAGTACAAAATAATTTTTTTCTGACTGTTTGCTCTCAGTCTACTACATGTGCCATAAAAGATACATATCCCACAATAAGTCAGTGTCTGGTAATAAGCCCACCTTAATCTTTTGCTGTTCTGTAGAATTACCAAACAAATACTATTCCATTATCTGGTAATAAACCCATCCCTGACTTTGAGCAGATTTTGTAGGTCAACCCCAAGTCTGGTATATGTTATATGGTATTACTAAAAGATATCCCCAGCCGACTGTTCACTTCTGTATATGGTGTACAGATAGAATTGGTTTCAACAAAAGCAAATATGACATGTCCAATACACAAGCAACTATGTGAGCTAATTTTATCATGATTTCATAATAAAGGTAAGAAAGGTTTAACATTTGTAGCTTTATTTGTTTAATACATGTATAACTATGGTGATTTAACAACAAATAAAAACTGGTTAAACACATCACAATTCAGTCACCTGTCTTAGATGATGACATCATGTAGAATCCTGCATTGATATTGGTCTGATTACAGATAATAAAATATACAGGTCATCGGCTAACTTTCATCAAAAAGAGAAATTATGAATTTATTTAAGACAAGCTATCCAATGGCACAGGATATTGTATAGCAATTCTCAATGAAAAAAAATCATCTTCAGATTCATATCAGGTAAAGGGGAAGTCTAACTACTTAGGGGTCAGATCAGACGGGATGTCAGAATACCCTGGGATTCAGATCAGACGGGATGTCAGAATACCCTGGGATTCGGATCAGACGGGATGTCAGAATACTCAGGGGTCATATTGAATAGAAATTTGGAATACCCTTGAGTTCAAATCAGACACTGTCAGAGTACCAAAGTGTCAGATCAAAGTGTGTCAGAATACTCGGGAGTCAGATTAAACAGGATGTAAGAATATTCTGGGTTCACATCAGATGGGATGATGGCCTACATATAAGCTCCCAATTGGACAGGTCTCGCTGAAAACCATGAGTGGCAGAAAAAAATCATCCGTGTAAAAGCACCAAGAATGTAGTGATAATTATCAAACTTCTTGTTGACCATGGAAAACTTGGTCTCTGATAAAGTAACAAATATACAGCACACAAAAAAGCCAGGTGGTGAATCTTACCCTTACATGGTTTAACACCACCAATATACATGTTATATATGATCGAGCATGATACCACTTATGTAGAGAAATTTTAATTTGTAAAATGAACAAAGAGAATTAAATATCTTCTCTCATGCTTGTATTTAATACTGATATACAATATACAAATAAAACATTAAACATAACGATTCACTCTCCATGAAAAATTCAAATTTCAAAACTTATTATATAATGAGAATATTTAATCCAGTTGTTGATAGTTGCTATTTATAGATAAAACCCTATTTTTCATGCATTTATTAACATTCCATGAAAAGACTGTACATTATATGTAAAGTACTGATGTAGTACTTCTAATCATTATCTCTGAAAAACGATTGTTTCCAAAAATCCAGCAAAACTTGTTTTTTCTGCTTGATAAACCCATTCCTGGTAATTTGTCCAACAATATCTATAGTAGTTCTATCAGATATGAGTGATTCTGTGGTAAACTGACCTCCCTATTTTGAGTTAAAGGTTAAGTGCTGATTGAGGCCCTCGGCTTATTAAAAGATAAGTGCCACAATCCAATCAAAGTGTATTTGGTTTGCTGGGTATATTACCATGTGAGGACTCCTTGAAGTACCAGGTGGCTATATTACTGAACAACATATGGGAGGCCCATTACATCTCGTCAACAGCAATTAGTGCAACATGTCCAGCCCAAGGTCAAGGCCATGATAGCAGGACTGGTGAGTTTCTCAGCTTCCTGAGAAACACAAACTATCATGAGTAAGGAACATTGAACCACATACCTTGGATGGTCACCTCAGGTAAATGTCCTAACCAACTGAACTATTAACAAACCTCAAAGTGTGGTAAAAAGCAATAAAAATATAATAACTAGTGTCAGTTCAGGTCTTAAGATGACAATTATTTACGTTCTTACAATCAAACAAAACACGCATATTATAATCATATTCACTAACCATATCAATCAAAATCTCACAACATCAACGATTTGCTTCACCCACTCGGCACACAAACACATACATGTAAGAGATGCAGGTCTGGGTTTCATTGTTCAAAGTCCAATATCCTAACAAGTAGAAAAAATTCAAGTTTTCATAATGCTACTTGACAACATGGAAATATTAAATTTATCTTCCTTTTCATCGTCTGATACCTATTTAATCACTGTATACAGCCAAACTTGCATTTTTTCACCTTTTTGTCATTAAGGCAAAATCAGAAGTATACAAAGATGTAGTTTTGTCTTTGAAGTTCAATGATTTGAACATTTGATTCAAGGAATTTATACTTTGTGAGAAGTTTTCAGTAAGGTTGATAAGATATGAACAATTTAACCCTGGTGAAATAATATCATTTATCACTAATATCATTACATCCTCCTCTGCTTGACCTCCTCCACAACTTTCATGTCTTTAAAAAAATTAAAAATCATTAGGTCAGCTCAACACGGCAAGAAAGTGAACCATTTAAATGCGATTAATCAAAAAACTAATGGTTAATATATAGGTGCAACATAACTGCCTGTACCAGTCACAAATTAAGAAATTTCTTGAAATTTTCAAAGTTCAAGTGCCATAACTCCAGAGACGCTGATCCAATATTCAACTTTATGTCAGTTCAACATCTTCATCAATCAAAGAGGAAATGAATGGAAACTAAATCATTTTAGAATGACGGCAAGAGGCAACACTATACATATACCCAAGCTATTGGATGGTTTGGTGTACAGCATAAAAAATGATAAGATACAAAAAAAATGAACCTGAAAATTGTAATTAAATCCTCGTCACACATCCTTCATTGAAAAGATATTGTTAAAAATTGAAAATCAGGGATTTCTTTTTCAACTTTTTAAACCTGGCCTATTGCCATTTATAAGCTGTATAGGATGTCCAAAAATGAAATGAAACACTCAAAAAAAGAATTTGTCATCACTGTACTAGAGGTAGAAAATATACATGACCAGATACATGGAACTCAATTCTCTGAATGCTAAGCTCCTCTCCCCCACCCCCTGCCCCCACAACATCACAAACCCAAGGCAGAAATACTATTCAGTCACATATAGAGTCTACTGTCAACTGCTGATAACAAAATAGAAGCTGACAATGACCTGCTGTCACAATGTTACATGATGGTACATAATAGTGTTCAATAATATGTTGAAATCACAGTGTCCATGGAGGCAGACATCACACACCATACTGTTTGTGCGGAGACTTTAAGCACTGCAGAACTACAGGCACGCGAGCATGTACACCTGTATGTAAACAAGCAGAGATCCGTTTTAGGCCTCAAGGCTGTGTGACACTCAAGTTGTTTGGATGATGATGACCAGGAAGCCCAGTGTCAGTGAGGTTGTGGGACGTGGCCGTCAACGTAGAAATTCCTTGTTGCTTGTGGAAGACCTAACTCTATCCCCTCTAGATCTTTATTTAGTATAATCTGACAACCTGTCAAAAGAAAGGCCACTTCTTTTATATATAAATTAGCTTCAGCAGTTAATATACCTTAAAGACAGTGAGATTACATGCTGTAGTGAAATGTATGTCTCTACCTTAAAGACAGTGAGATTACATGCTGTAGCGAAATGTATGTCTCTACCTTAAAGACAGCGAGATTACATGCTGTAGCGAAATGTATGTCTCTACCTTAAAGACAGCGAGATTACATGCTGTAGTGAAATGTATGTCTCTACCTTAAAGTCAGCGAGATTACATGCTGTAGCGAAATGTATGTCTCTACCTTAAAGACAGCGAGATTACATGCTGTAGCGAAATGTATGTCTCTACCTTAAAGACAGCGAGATTACATGCTGTAGCGAAATGTATGTCTCTACCTTAAAGACAGCGAGATTACATGCTGTAGCGAAATGTATGTCTCTACCTTAAAGACAGCGAGATTACATGCTGTAGCGAAATGTATGTCTCTACCTTAAAGACAGCGAGATTACATGCTGTAGCGAAATGTATGTCTCTACCTTAAAGACAGCGAGATTACATGCTGTAGCGAAATGTATGTCTCTACCTTAAAGACAGCGAGATTACATGCTGTAGCGAAATGTATGTCTCTACCTTAAAGACAGCGAGATTACATGCTGTAGCGAAATGTATGTCTCTACCTTAAAGACAGCGAGATTACATGCTGTAGCGAAATGTATGTCTCTACCTTAAAGACAGCGAGATTACATGCTGTAGCGAAATGTATGTCTCTACCTTAAAGACAGCGAGATTACATGCTGTAGCGAAATGTATGTCTCTACCTTAAAGACAGTGAGATTACATGCTGTAGCGAAATGTATGTCTCTACCTTAAAGACAGTGAGATTACATGCTGTAGTGAATACATGTATATGAAAGTGAAAGGATTTTATTTAGATGAATTTTTTAACTGCTTGGTCAAACTACCAAGTACTTTTAAGAATCGGCCAAGCACCATTGGTATTAAAGTCTATTAATATTTTTTTTCATTGACATAAATACAACAAAGCAGATATTGACAAGTCAACAGAATCTTAATAAAAACTTAAATTTGATGAAACAAGGAAAAAATGAGAACAAATCAAAGTTTAACAATGTGAGTCCTGAAACAGTACAAGTTATTTGTGTTGTTAAGGTGTCTTCCTACTTTATTGATAACAGCTATAACATATTTTTCAATAATAGTTTTTCCAGTGATTAATTTCAACTTCTGATACCCAATCTTCTTATCTCTTGTTATTTTCATCAATCTCCTATAATATTTCATAAAATAGAAAATTCTCGATGCAATATTTCAATCAAAGCTAATGAGACAACATGTTTTGATATGACTTATCTCCCCTTTTATACCTCAACCCAAAAACCTCAAACCAGTTCAAAACTTTACCTAGTCTGGAGTTTTCTTTTAAAAATACTGCCATGTCTAACATGTCGTCTTCTCTGAAATGGTAATTTAGATGCTTTATATGTAATTATAAAACAAAAATAAACAATGAGTTGTAAACAAAATAACATACTCCTGGAGATATCAACTTTACACAGTTTGTCAACAAACCAATAGATTCAATCTGGATTTAACTAAAGAATTTAATTAATGAACAGGATTCTTAAGTGTTTCTAATCATTTCATTTTATAATCCATAATGCTGAATATTCAATAGGATTGAGATCTACCACAGCCTTGGATTTGACCTCCTTGTATCAACCACTATGGAAGTGACCTCCCTATACCCATCCACCCCAATCCACCTCCTTGGACCCCTCAATCTATCAAAGAATTGACATCCTTGTACCCACCCTAGAACCCCTAAAACCAACATGAAACTGACCTCCTTGTACTAATCCATCCCCGTCTCCTCCTTGGACCAACCCCTCAAATCACCACTCTATTGACCTCCTTGTACCCTTCCTAGAACCCCTCGAACCACCACACTGACCTCCTTGTACCCATCCTAGGACCCCTCAAACCACCACACAAATGACTTCCTTGTAACCACCCTAGGACCCCTCAAACCACCACACTTACCTCCCTGTACCCAGCCTTGGACCCTCAAACCACCACATTAACCTCCTTCTAACCACCCTAGGACCCCTCAAACCACCACATTGACCTCCCTGTAACCACCCTAGGACCCCTCAAACCACCACAATGACCTCCTTGTAACCACCCTAGGACCCCTCAAACCACCACATTGACCTCCTTGTAACCACCCTAGGACCCCTCAAACCACCACATTGACCTCCTTGTACCCACCCTAGGACCCCTCAAACCACCACATTGACCTCCTTGTACCTACCCTAGGACCCCTCAAACCACCACATTGACTTCCTTGTACCCACCCTAGGACCCCTCAAACCACCACATTGACCTCCTTGTAACCATCCTTGGACCCCTCAAACCACCACATTGACCTCCTTGTACCCATCCTAGGACCCCTCAAACCACCACATTGACCTCCTTGTACCCACCCTTGGACCCTTCATATCACCACATTGACCTCCTTGTAACCACCCTAAGACCCCTCAAACCACCACATTGACCTCCTTGTACCCACCCTTGGACCCCTCAAACCACCACATTGACCTCCTTGTACCCACCCTTGGACCCTTCATATCACCACATTGACCTCCTTGTAACCACCCTAGGACCCCTCAAACCACCACATTGACCTCCTTGTAACCACCCTAGGACCCCTCAAACCACCACATTGACCTCCTTGTAACCACCCTATGACCCCTCAAACCACCACATTGACCTCCTTGTAACCACCCTAGGACCCCTCAAACCACCACATTGACCTCCTTGTACCCACCCTTGGACCCCTCAAACCACCACATTGACCTCCTTGTACCCATCCTTGGACCCCTCAAACCACCACATTGACCTCCTTGTACCCACCCTTCGACCCTTCATATCACCACATTGACCTCCTTGTAACCACCCTAGGACCCCTCAAACCACCACATTAACCTCCTTGTAACCACCCTAGGACCCCTCAAACCACCACATTGACCTCCTTGTAACCACCCTAGGACCCCTCAAACCACCACATTGACCTCCTTGTACCCATCATAGAACCCTTCAAACCACCATATTGACCTCCTTGTACCCACCCTTGGACCCTTCATATCACCACATTGACCTCCTTGTAACCACCCTAGGACCCCTCAAACCACCACATTGACCTCCTTGTACCCATCATAGAACCCTTCAAACCACCATATTGACCTCCTTGTACCCATCATAGAACCCTTCAAACCACCATATTGACCTCCTTGTACCCACCCTTGGACCCTTCATATCACCACATTGACCTCCTTGTAACCACCCTAGGACCCCTCAAACCACCACATTGACCTCCTTGTACCCATCATAGAACCCTTCAAACCACCATATTGACCTCCTTGTACCCACCCTTGGACCCTTCATATCACCACATTGACCTCCTTGTAACCACCCTAGGACCCCTCAAACCACCACATTGACCTCCTTGTAACCACCCTAAGACCCCTCAAACCACCACATTGACTTCCTTGTTCCCATCATAGGACCCTTCAAACCACATTGACCTCCTTGTAACCACCCTAGGACCCCTCAAACCACCACATTGACCTCCTTGTACCCATCATAGAACCCTTAAAACCACCATATTGACCTCCTTGTAACCATCCTAGGACCCCTCAAACCACCACATTGACCTCCTTGTAACCACCCTAGGACCCCTCAAATCACCACAAAACTGACCTCCTTTAACACACCCAAGGACCCTTGCATTTAAAACAGAAAGTGTCACATCAATCTTAATATTAAAACTATCAAGATGAATGACATACTCTTCCTTTGGCTCAGGTAATCTGTCTACATAATCCTCATGTACATAAACATGACAGGTTGAACATGCCAGTGATGCTTCACAAGCACCTAAAACAGAAAACATTACCAATCTGCATACCATTATAAACCGTGGTGGGTTATTATATTTTCAAAAGAATGAGTATTTTTGAATGAAATAGGATTTTATGAAGTGATCCAAAAAATATTGTGCAATTGCTTTTTTTTTTTTTTTTTTGATAATTGTTAAAAGTAGTTTTTTGAATAATAGTTTTCAGTTGCTGAGCAAGTTTGTATAAAAAAAGTGTTACCCTCCAGTTCAATGCCATAACGGTGAGCTAGGTACATGGCATTATCTCCAACCTTCCCCCGTACAGGTATCCTCTCCCCACTCCTTGTTATATATACAATATTTACCCTGGAAAAAATAATAAGAGATCATCTCAAAGGGATCTTGAAGCCCCACCATTTCAATCAGTACAGAAAGGGAAACAAGTTGTTAACGAGTGTTCATTTCAAAGTTTGAAGTTCTTCAAATATGACATATTCATACTTGCTCAAAATTGAGAAAATAAATCCATATTTATTTCCTCTCAGAGTGCTGCTTATGTTTAAAAAAAATCAAATTCAAATCATATTTGCTTTTATGGTTTGAACTTCTTAAAATATGAAATTCTAAACTTGTTCAAAGTCAGAACCTGAATCCATAATGATTTATCTCCCCTTACAGTGTTAATTCCTTACTGATTTTCGTTTTTATGTGGAATTGTATTAACTTTCTTATAGAATTACATAAATCATCAACTCCACGCACCCAGGATAATATATTTCTATGATAGTATGATCAGGCTTTGTAATAATCCACCCGTATATATATATTTATAGAGAAAATTAATCACTTAACATGACAAACAAATATATCATTAACGTTTTCAGGCCTCGCGGCCATCTTCAGGTGATTACATTACATGTACCCTGTACATTACTTAGTAATCTATATTGTAACGTAATGTTATTGTTATAATAAAAGGGGAGTTAATAACGTTATTAATTGTGTCCCGACGCAATCTTCAATTGATATATATGTTTTTTAGAACAATGCTTTTTCATTGTCCCAGGATAAGTCAACCTCTTGACTTGTATATTAGCCCACTGGGCTAATTGCAAGGCCAAATTGGTATCAAATTAATTCAAATTATTATGAAAGACAACAAGGTAAAACATGAAGAAAATACAATAAAATGAAGAGGTAGGCCTAGGTGGGAACTGGAATTTGTGTGAAGATAACAATTCCAACATGTTATTTTCCAAGAAGTCAATGAAATTGCTTAATTTCTGGCAGCATGTGCCTTGAAATGAAATTAGGGGATGATTTCAGGTGTCATTCTTACACTTCATCCTCACTCTTTGGATCTTGCATTTCATAATCACCATGGTGGAGTGGACCTGTGAAGAAGTGGAAAAAAAAAAAAAATAAAACAATGTGATTGTTGCATTATTAAATGTTTATATACTACATGTATGTAACAGTATTTGACTAATTGACATATTCATCTGTGTACTAATATCTATCTACACTGGTTTTCAAAGTTAAAACATTATACACTGATAAGAACAACCCAGAGACCTCTGCTGTCGCTTTGCTTGGCACCTGATGTGATCAACATACAAAATTGTATATGGTTACTTAATTTGTTCTAGGGAAACCTTTTTTTTGGAAATACTTCCTTAATGTATAGTTATGCCATTTTTTTGTTCCGTAAATTGAAACATTATCATATTAATTGTACTGTTATACCATTGGTAATTAAGTATATTTGACTGTCCACATGTATGCGTACAATGTCCATGTAGTCATGTTGAGATGAGCTTAAAATGTACCAGAGTACAATGACAATGAAGCAGCCATATATCCAAGGGCTGACCCCACCCCTTTTATCTTTGAGATTCATCCCAAATCTATCACGCTATGCTATGTCAATGAATTGAAACCAAACAAATAAATAAATGAAGTAAAAAGTGTTCATACTATAATATATATATATTTTTTTAATCTGACTAATGAAACACTGGTATTTTTCTAAAAAGTGTCAACAGAAACGACCTCAAATTTTTCTAACCTGAAATGACCAACATGTGTATCGGAAATGTGACTGCACTTCGGTTTCTAATGACATTACTAAATCACAGAGACTCTTGATCAAGCTGATCAACAGTGACCCAGAAATACATATGTAGTACATAAAATCATAACTTGATTGATGAAAAAAATCAAAAATAATATCCTCATGTGAAAAATGTGGATAACTGTGGGTAAGTGTTTATTGTTTAATTCTTTATCTCACGTGAGGCATATGGACAGGTAAACTTCTTTTCTATAACACAAACCACCAGGTATTTAAAAATACAAGTTCAATTTCCATCTGTCAGTCTACAAGTCACTAGTTAATTCAAATAAAAAATTAGAGGTCAGAAGTGATCATTTCAAAATCTTCATTTTTCCAATATAAGGCCTGCATTTCAGACAGACTTTCATAGTGAAAACTCGACAAGAAGTAATAAAAAATGGCCGATTTGTATTCATTGACAGATGATTGATAAGCTATTTCACCATATCTGGGAGGATGTTCAACATGTTAAAAAAGCGTGTTTTAAAAAAATATACAAATTTGCCTATAAAACATATTCTCATAATATTTATGGTGAATGGTTTTAAGCACATCTTTTTATTCTTTCTGAAAGAGCGACACTTTACAGCAACCAAAATTATCCAGGTGCAGGTCAATAGTTCATGTGACAAAATGGCTGCTTCAAAATACATAACGGTCTGGAACCAATGTCGAAACAATACTTCCAATACTGTCTGGAAGCACATCCCTACATGATGGTAAGACTTGCGGGCCCCCTCGCATACCCTCCCTCCCATGACCTTTCATCTTACAATGACAATACTGTAAATGAATTAAAAAGGATACCTGTTGATATGTGAAAGCGCCGTTTGCATAAATACAACTTCGGAGCTCGTTGTATATTCATGCTGTTACTGTCATTTCGTAATTTTGAAGTAGCTTTGAAATTACGCAAGCAAAGTCTACAAAAGCTTCGGATCATGGGGGCTGACATCTTGAAAATATAGCCCGAAATCAGTAATGATTAGTTTCGTAAAAATGATGCGCGCGCATCTACACAGAAAAAAAAGAGTGAAAAAATGGACGATACGAAACCACCGCTGTGGTGCTAGCTCTCCTTATTAGCATGCAAGTCTACTACGATGACAGAACAGCATTGTAACAGCGGATAAGGATTTACTTTCTCGTGTTTATTTTCACAACCTGGATTTACAACAAATAGAATAGGAAATTAACAGTTTAATCATGACGTAGCATTCGGAATTTGGATGGTATTAGATGATTTGTGAAAGCATGTTATATGTTTATCACCGTCATGTTTTGATGAAAAGGTCGGAAAGGCCATTTCCAACATGGCGACCCTGAATTACAATAATAACAGGGTATTTATACCACTTTTTAGAGTATTGTGTGTAGTATTGTTTATTTCTTTAAGCAGTGGAACTAATACAAAGAAAATAAGAGATGTAACGGATCGAAATCAGGGGAAGTTAAGTCTGCATAATATCGGTGAAAAGGATGAAAAGTTGGCCAAACTGTTTGACGACGAATATTATACAGACACGCGACAAGAAAATGTCTCCCCAAAGGTCCTGGGTGGCATTGACATCGCCAACGAGGCGGTTAAGATATCCATGCAGTTGCTCTGGATCACCAATCAAGAAATTGGTGTGACTGATATGCAGGTGAGTAAAGAGAAGCGTTCAAAGTATGTGTATTCCAACACATTGTGTACAATACACAAACAACGAAGTTGGTCCACAAAATCTGGTTACACTAACTAACACTATCCCATTTGCACACATTCAATTTCCACTCCGCAACGATGCTGTTCTTTCGATTTCAACAATATGAAATTGTCATTTGCTATCAGGTAGACATTGTTTACACTGCATGAAAATTTTAAAGCATTAATATACATTCTGCATTCAATTAGAACCATATCTTGTTTTGTCTGCAATTAAAGAAGTTGTCAAACAAGACTGTGTGATGCAGTTAGTACAGTAATTTTCACTCCTAACTGTCATGCTGTCTTTTATAAATTTCATGAAAATGAACAGAGATGTATATTTATACATAAAAGACTTAAGCATTGTTAAAAGATGAATATTGACAAATTACAGTGCAGCCTGCAATAATGTATGTTAGATACTGGTCATCAATTAGTTTGTAGAATACTTTTGTTTCCACAATCATATGAGACACGATGTATAACCTTCAATATTTTACTTTTCCAAGTTTTGTTGAATATTGGATGAATATATAAATTTTGACAAGTGTAATCTATGCATACTCATGAAAATTAGGAAAGTTCAAACAGAATTTTAAAAAAAAAATAGAAAAATGAGTGCCTTCAATATCTTTTTGATGGATTACCAAGTTTTAAATTGTCAGCTTTGGCTAGCAAGCAATTCATACTCATTTTAAAAGAAGAGGCCCAGAAAAAGCGATTACAAATTCACCAGTATCATTCCTTATCATGTAGATATAGTTTCAAGATTTGTAGCAATACATGTAGTTAGATTTTACATCCTAGAAGTCAGCTATGTCAAATTGATGTTGAAACTTTGGTGTAATGGCAAGTCATGGATCATGATTAAACTAAAATATATCAGTATACAGTATCTGCCTGCTTTGAGGTTTATTAAACTATTTCACATTTCTTTATATTTTAATGTCAAAATTTTTATCATGACTCAGATCATGAATTGATTTGCTTCTTAATGCATTTAGATTGATACGGTACGACACTACAGAAAATTGATATTTGGATTATGCTAAATAAATCCAATTACTGAGTTTTCAGATACATGTGGAGAATTCAAAACTTTGAAATTCATCCTGAATTTAGTGGTAATTTTATTTGCATACCAGATCAAAAACATGTTGATTACTAAGAAGCTTTGAAGTGCTTTTGAATTTTGATGCAGTATACCTTTCTATGCATTGATAATGCACATTATACACGTTCACAAGAGATGTGCATGCATTGGTAATTTACTTTACCTGTTACATATACTCACTGATGTATTGCTGTCGATGACAGCTGAATTCTATTTGAATTAATATAATGACTTTTGGGTTTTGTCATCAAGAATAAATTACTTCAGTGTTCAAAGGCAATAGTAATGTTTTGTATGCATTATTTATAAGGTAGATATGTAATTGCTGAGAATTCAATGAGAAGTTTTTATGTTCATGAACATGTCATAGGATAAGGGTATATACACAACACTTTGGTAATTCTCAGAATACAATTTTTTTTTTACAAAATTGCTACATTGCTTTGATTTCATTTAGTTCAAAATATCTCCTGTTCTGAAGCTTATTGAATCCCAACAGGAAACAGTATTTCAGAAATTAATATCTATAATGTATTTGCTGCAGTAATAGTATTTAAGTAATTATGTCACTATAAATTTCATCACACTGACAATTGTAATGACTTTATGTGATGCTTTTGAATTATCCGAACTTGCATTGTGAAGTTTCAAGTATCTTTTTATTCAATCTGTTTAAGTAGCATTGATTTAAAGATTTGCATAAAAGTTTGTTTTTTTTTTAAATATATCGCATATTTATCAAACTTAAAAGCAAGGTTTTCTTTTATTACAGATATAATTATGATATGGAGATTTCCTATGTAAATGATTTTAATCAATTTGTGTTCCCATTATAAGGAATTACATGTAAATACATTTAAATGGAGACATGTTTTCTAAATTTGTGACCATAGCCAGTAGAATTTTAAAACATTCACCAAGTGAATACTTTTAAGAGTTTTCCAATTCACTTTTTGTTCGTGTTTAATTTGTTGAGTAAAGGTACTGTTTACGAATAACTACTGGACTGTACATCTCCACACGGCTTTGAAGCTGATATGATTGCTCAAACAAAATGTTATTTAGTGTAACCCCTACTCCATCTAACTTGGATTCAAAGGGATCTGTAGGTGCTCTAAATCCATGTAAACGAGCTATCAGATTTGCTGGTATTAGGTGTATATTTACACAAGGTCCAAAGAAAGGAGTGCAAATACTAGTTGTCTGGGGGTGAACTTTGAAGGATAGAACCTATGAAATGTTTTAGTTAAGAAGGATGATAATGTAGACAAATTAGATATTGCCATTTAGTGAAGTAGTTCCTTTCCCTCCCAAACCCCCATGTAGGGCTATACTTAAATAATTCACTAGTTGTTAAAGTCTGTTTTAATAGATAGTACTTTACTACTGTGTATTTAAAATTAACAATGAATACAAATTATTCAAATGGTTTGTTTTCAAATTTTAAAAGATTTATAATTCATGGTTGCCTGTTTTAGGAATTTAAAATGATTTTGTTGAAGATAAAATACATGGCAAAATCTTTTTAAATGTAAAACATTTGAAAAATGTTTTTATTGAAATGAAAAAAAATTCAAATTACTAATGTATTAATTTTTAGGACGCTTTGATAAACTGAGCCTGGTAATTAAATAAGCAATGTTTTACAACCAGAGGTATAATTTGATACCCTTGAAATGTATTCATAATAGATGATAGATTATTTATTGTATGTACACACATGTATGTGAGAAGACTCCAGTTCTTTGATGTGTATACAGACCAACCTTTACATTGTATCATATCACACTGTTAATTTGACCCAAGGAATTAGCTTTATATATAAAAGGCAGCAGTTTTTCTTTGTACTTTGGGACTGGTGCAAGGGCCCATATATGTTTGCTTTGAAAGAATAAATGAAGAAGTGCAGACGTTGAATGTGGTTTAACTTGTAACTCCGAACTGTAGGCTATACAACCTTAGTTTGGTGTTCAATATATATAGAAAATTCACGATACCCTGACCAAGATTTTGATCTCTGAACTTGGTTCAAACTTTTCACCCATTTGACCAACAATTCATTAATCAATTATTGCACCATATATATACAGTCAAACTATGAGGTTTCAAAGTTGAAAGGACAAACAAAAAGACTGATACTTTGAGACTATGAATCCTTTGTGGTGGGTTACATTGACGTTTTCATGTTCATGGCTATATATAGTTGATGACAAGATTTTTGTACCAGGACAAACAAAACAAATTCTTAAAAACAAGATTAAATGAAAAGATGCATTTATATTTTGAAACAAAACATTTTCATTTATATAAAATGATATGCTGCATTAAAGTGGTCTTTAAGTAGTAGAGTTATTATTTCAAAACTGATACATAAACATTATAGGCACTAATGAACTAAAAAGAAAGGAAATTAATATCATAAAGTATTCTGTCACAGAAACGAGAGTACTAACATCACACATCTTTAGTCGTCGAAATTACAAGAGTGCTCGCCAATGGTCTGATGACGGCTAGTTTGAATCGGTCGGAAAATGCATGATTGACAGATAAATTATGATGTTTCTCCTGCTTTTTTGCTTAAAATGGAAAAGTGACGTTTTGGGAATTAATGAAATCATCATACATGTGATAGGATTTCCTTCGTTTGTTTTCAGAATTCTGTAAATCAGACCTAACTAAATGCCATTAATGGCACCAGTGAACATAACACAACATCCCATTCATAATCTTTGATTAAACATCATGGCTTGTAAGTAATTAAATTTTAATCTGTGTCCATTCTTTAATCAACCTCACAACACAGCCAATGATAATGGGCTATCGTAATCCCATTGCCAGGTAGCAATCTTTGAAATGTGTGAAATTTTGCTGTAGGGCGATAGTACCTTTACAGTACAGATAAAGATTTTGTTTCAATCATGTAAACGACTAAGTTGTCTGTATTAATATCTGTCTGTGGAAAAACTTGGAAACATTGAAAAGTTTGATTTATAAAACTTCAATTTATCAAGGGATAAATTAGATGTAATATATAAAAATAAAAATCAGGACCAGATGAAAACTTAGATACATCAAGTAATTTGAATCATTAAAGTTTGATTCATAGAAGTTTGACTGTAGCTACAAATCAAATTCTGTTGTTGTTTGCTCTGCTGCTGTGTGATGATCAGTCCAGTAGAGAAAAAGCACAATAAACATAAAGTAAAACCATATTATGTAGATTTGTAATTGACAAATTTAAGCCCTCAACAGCATTTTAAAAGCATTCAATCAATGACTTTGATAGGCAACGTACAACATCAGGAACGTCCCAGACTAATTAATATCCTTAAAAATTTCTCTATTGCCTGTGTAATCAGTAAAATGCAGATATAAAAGGAATTTCATTGATTTTGATTCTACGGGAATAAAATTAGATGCATCTGACAATTTCAGATGCAACATACAAAAATAATCTTGTTGATGCATGTTGGTAAATTACCTTTCTTCCCCACAGTATGAGAACTGACATACAACAAAATGTATTGGCATGGTCTTATCAAGAAAGCTTTAAATTAGTTAAAGTAAAAACTTCCTTGACAATTGTGTAAAATATCAATATAGAGAGTTTAGAAACTGAAATTCTATGACCAGAGTGCAGTTGATATGAGAAGATATGCAAGTACATTGATTAATCCCGTTCCAAATGTGCATGTTGTTAAGATCTGTCCTCACTATGTCCGCCTGAGAAAATACCTGTTTGAAGTAGAGCTGTAAGGTGTACCCCAAAACATGATCAAGGGCTAGGGATTACTGCACATTGATCAGGGCAGCAACAGCTTGTTGGAGGTTGTATGCAGTTT